GCGCCGCGTTTCCAAGCATGAGCTACGAGGGACTACTCGACGCATTGTTAAACTAGGCGCTAGGTGCCTTTTCCTTTAAGAGCGTTTTTCACAATTTTTTCACAATCAAGAAAATCCATAGTTATGCCAGTCCATCCCTTTAAAAATTTCTACAACATTCCTATCGACACTGCCATTGTTATGGTGTGTGCGATGTACATAGTGCAGTGTGGTAGTCTGAGCTAACGGATGGCACCCCTTGCCGGGCGGGGAGATAACCTGGTTATCTGGTCCAGGGGCGTCGAGTGATTACACGGAGTAGGAGCTCTAAGGATGAAGGAGGATGAGGGGGAGGAGGGCACACCAATTTGTGCCCCCTGGGTACCCTGATTAGTTGGCCCAAGGGGGGTGGAGGGTGGATAAGATTCCGCCCCACAACAATAGCCACCCTGCCCCCGGCGCACTGGAATTTGGCCAGCCGTCTGGCGCCAACTTTGTGCCCCGATGAGCATGAATATATTTGAAGTATGATGCTTGTTTTATAGCTGATCGATAGGCCAAAGCGTTACTCGTGAAATTTACGCGTCGCGGGTTGCGTTGCGTCTGGCTGCGTATATATATATTTCTTTGCATATAAGTCCACTCTTTTTAGTTAAATTTATGTATATTTCCGGTGGATACCGTATCCTACTATACAGGGTGTCCCAAAAAAAATCCCCCCTCCCCCTAGCCGGCCGCAGACCCACCCGATTTTTACGATTTAGGTATCTATCGAAAGCTCTCGGAAAGGCGATGTCGGGACGCCTGGTCGATTTTCGAAATGTCGAAATTTTTTTATCATTTACTAATGTTTTTTGCGAAAAGCGCGGATTTTCAGATGTTTTTCTGAGAAGGCGTTTTTTACAAAAATCGCAATTTAAGATTTTTTATGCCTTTCCTGGCAGCCCAACGACAGCTCTTTGAAAGCCGTTTGCGAAAACACAGCTTGGATAGCGCTTAAACCGGTTAAATTGCGTTTTGGACAAAAAAGCGAGTCTTTTTTGCCTGAAAAAGGCCGAAAATCGAGCAAAAAATTTCGACATTTCGAAAATCGACCAGGCGTCCCGACATCGCCTTTCCGAGAGCTTTCGATAGATACCTAAATCGTAAAAATCGGGTGGGTCTGCGGCCGGCTAGGGGGCGGGGGATTTTTTTTGGGACACCCTGTATATAAAAAAATAGTGTCTGTGTGTGTATATTTGCATGCAACTTCCGTAAGTATGTACCGCACCTACAGCCTCAGGGGAAGGTTTTTAAGGTACGTATGATACGTCATTAGGTGCGTAATGGTCCCGAGATGGGTGCACACATATAAAATTGAAGAAAATCGGCTGTTTTTGCTATTGAAATTAAGTTTTTGTAAATATATCAATAAACCTCTTTGTTAGGAGGCAATTAGCATTGGCCGGAAGTGGCCGTAGCCTATAAAAATGCAGGGAGCGTGCGCTTTTCATTTTTTGGTGAGCGGCATTCGGCAAGCCCTATGTAAAGTCAAATTTTCAGAAGTCCTAGACGGGTCCCGGGTTGAAAAGCCGCGAAGCGGTTTTTCAACCCTGGTTTCCTCTAATATAACCCCGGGGGTTATATTTTTGCAATCACCTCAGGGGTGGGGGTTGTATTAGAGAGAGTGATATATTTTTCGTGATTTTGAGCAATTACAACGATTTCTAGCAGTTCAAACTGCTCACAACTACCCAGAAATACAATACGAAGCTTAAACAAAAACGTTTTTGGCATTTTTTACTTCTTAGAGGCAACTTCGAAAAATTTTTGGGGGGTTGTATTAGAGGAAATACGGTAATTATTAGGTAGACCGTTAAAAATTTGGGATTTTGACCGAAAATCTGCCATTTTGGTCGAGAAATTTTGATATATTTTAGTATATTCGCGTTTCCGAATTTAAAAAAGCGTAGATACATTCAATTTTTTATTTGTTAGAGACATTAGATCCTAAAGAAAATGCAAATCTCCCCTGGAAATAGAAAAAGGTCCCCTTAGCTCCCATATACTTTTCAAAGTTCACATCTATTTTTCAAATTACCAACTCTCAAAGCCACGACCAATTTAGGCCCAAGTATCGCAATGAAAGTGTAGGCACCGAATAAGCCGCCCCCACTTAGAATACCCCCAACAACAGGAAGACTTTTGAGGCATAGCCCCCGGCGCCTCGTCACCAATTATTGCTCTCCGAGTGGCCACCATGGGGCCCTAATAAAAGCCCTAGGGGGACCCAGGCGAAAGGAAGGAAGTACTCTGCTGGCATGGCACGGCTGAGCCACGAGCCAAAAACGGGCGTGGCTCAGGTATGATTCTACCGCGAGGGCTCAGCCGTGGCACGGCCGTGCCTGGGGTTCGGCTGTGGCTCGGCGGTGCCACAACCGTCAAGGCGCCCCAAAGCACGACCATGCCTTGAGCACCATTCTGGTGCTCCGGCTGGCCCTGCGGACACCCACTCGGTTGTAATTACCAGATATAAAGGGTTATATAACCCAGAATTTAAAGTACATATCCAACAATTTAGTTACAAGTTAAAATTCATGTTTAAAAACACAAAAAAACATAGCGAAAATCACACAAAAAAGGTTAGCAGTACTTTTTTTTCTTTTTTCGTGCTTCTCGCGGCTCGAACACGCGTCCCGCTTCATCCCGAGTGCCGCTGAAGTCTAAAAAGAAAATACATTGCTACATGCGAATTTTTAATAGAAGTTTTATTCCTACAACATTTATTAAACTTAATATATCTCTCTATACTCTATAAACTGTCTATCTATAATTTCTAAACTGCTAAATTACTAAAATACGAAACTCACTAATTCATTGAAAGTTGTTATTAAAACAAACTCATCAAAAATAGGGGGATCACTTATGAAAACGGCGCGTTAGCAATTTAGGGTACTGGACTCTTATCGGGGGTGCGGGTTACGAAAGCAAAGGTTGTATTAGTAACCTATTTTTTGAATAGGTTAGTAATACAAATTTATTGCTTTTTGCAGAATTGCCAGAGTCTCCAATCACTAAAGTCTTATGGAAAACTTGTAAAAAATACCAAACAATCGGAAACGTCAGAACAAAAATTAAAGACGTCAAAACGGGACTTAAAGCTACTATTGATTATTTTCATTGTTAAAATTAACATTGAGCGCGCAGAATTTGTCATAGCGACCTCATTAGACATCGAAAAATTATTCTATTAATTCGGGTTCCTTGCTAATTTATTTAACCTTTAAAAAGACATTTCTAACCTGTAAATAGGTCGAATCCGTTGTCTTCTTTACGGCTGGTCGACGACTGGCGGCTCCTCGCTGTCGAGAGGCTCTGGTCTCTTGCGTGTTCCTAAAAATGCAATTCGCGGGACCTGGCCAGTTCGCGGAACTAAAGCAACTCCATAGCATTTCACGATTTTTTTAGGTAAAAAGGTTTTATTTTCAGACGAAAAAACTTTTAATATATTACAAACGTTTAGAAAACCCGACTTTTTGGACAAAACCTATGCAAACTGGCCAATACTCGTTAAAAACCTCAGATTTTTAAGTTCTACCAAAGTTTCGTAGGGTTATAACGAAGGGAAAGTGCAAAACACATTATTGAAGTAGATTTTCATTCATTACTATACAAAGATAGGCTCCATTTAAAAATAAATCAAAACAATAGCTACCTACAAGGGAAAAAGCTTGGTAAAAAAGAAAACTCACACTCTCATTCGCACAGCATAGCCAAAAACCATCGCAAATCGACCATAGTTGTCGTCACATCGCGAGCTACCTAAAGTTACCAACAAAAGAAAGAACCAACAATACCTTTCTTTCCCAAGCTTTCCGGCGATGGAAGTCGTGAAGTCGCTGTAGCAGCACGTCGCCGGCAAAGCCTGTATAATGATAAAAAAAAGTAGGAAAAACGATACCTTTACAAGCGCAGGAATAAAGCCACAAAACTTTCATACATTGCACATGCACATTGTCGCATCGCCGGTGTCCTAAATGTAACAAATCCGAAATATACCTGAAAGCGCTTCTGAAATCCCACACCACTTCAACATCGACAACGAACACGATCCGCTTCCTCATCGTTGACCATTTCCTAAAAGGAAACCTCATAAAAAAGCCTTAGAAATACAACGAAAACAAAAACCGACTAGTTTCTTACGTTACCTTTGCATCAAACACATTCCTCGCAGTCGCTTTCTTCCGTTTGCGGCGACCTCCGGAAACGACGACGGCTAAGGAGCATCTTTACTAGTCATCTAAACGAAATTTGGGCTTAAAAGTGAAAGTTACCGACTATAATACGTCGTAGTTGCTTGTGTGTGGGCAAAACACTCACCCGGGACGAAATACAAGTTATTTTAGAAGAAAAACACCTATAATAATAAAGAAAACTATAAAAACACTCAATTTATTTAACAAAGTTCGAGAATTTGGCCTAAAAATTAATTGGCGAGAGTGCGTATGATTCAGATGTCGATAGGAATGAGCCACAGCCGTGTGTGGGCCGGAGGTTTTCGGGTGTGCCACGAAGGCCCTTTTTGACCCGCACCGCTGTGGCTCGGCGTTTTTCGAGATATTCGGGTGTGGCTCGGGGTTTCCTCGTGGCTCAGCCGTGGTTTGCCAGCAGAGTAGGCGGAGTCCTTCCCTTCACGCCCGCGCGGCGCTCAAATTATTGCCCACCCCTTTAGCCCCTAACCCCAAATTTGCACGCCCTAAAATCCCTTGTGGCGCTCACGCCCTTCGTTCCGATACGCTGGATTTTTATAGGTGTACATAGTTTTCGGTTCTTTTACCTTATCGGTGGGGGAAGTACTTTTTCTAAGGATACAATCCAATGCGCGCCCCCCCCCCGCCCGATAATGCGAAAGAACCGAGATTTCTTTACTTTTTCTTGTAAATAGCTTTTCTTCACCCTTCTTTTTCATCTTACCTTTTTCATTAATTTCTTCTCTAACTCTTTTCTTCTTGGCTTTTACATTTTATCAGAATATTTTAGCCATGCTCCTCGCCGAGCCCCCAGGCTCATCTGCCGTCAACGAGGAGCCCCAACCATCTACTTCTCAGGTTTGTGTAAACTTTTGTACTCCTCAAGTTTTTATCTACAATTGTTGTTATTTTATACAAAAAGCTATTTAGGCGGAAGTCCTGTCGACGTGCTCTTCCCATTCTGGAGACAGCGGCCACCACTCTGACAGCTCGAATCGGGTACGTTACATTATTTTTTTACATAGATTTTGCTTTAAATTGTAGACTAACTTTTACTTTTTGGGGATCCTGTAGTAGTTTTATAATTGTCATGTTTAGCACAGATTTCCTTCTCAAAATTGTAGATGATCTTTCCCGTTTTCAGCTCTCCCTCCTCGCCGACTCTCCACTCCTGTGGACGGGCAAAAACTCTGAAAGCGAGCCGTTGATCGACAATCCGCCTGGGCTGACACTTCCCGATCTCGAGGCCGGTTATGGTATCCACCGTGATGAGGATGCCCCCGGACTCGCTCAATGCCGATTGGGCACCAGCAAGTGTACGTTTTTAAAGCGATTTTACAGCCTATGAAGGAAGGAAAGTAAAAAGTTTCGATCTCTACAAAACTATTTTTCAGTTTCTTTGGCTTCTGCTCATTCCGCCGCCACTTCCACGAGCTCCCAATTTCTGTGTCGAATCTGCCATATCAGCAAGCAGTCGGCAAAAGGTATTACCTATACCAATTACAGAAAAACGTTTTTTAGACCCGCTCGTCTCGCCATGTCGATGCTCGGGCAGCATGCTCTACGTGCACAAAGCTTGTTTAGTGGTTGGTTGCTGTTTCTATGGTCTTGAATTTTGTAATTTAGCACTGGCTCGAGCTGTCGACCCGCAAGATGGTGCCAGCGCCCCGGTGTGAGCTCTGCGGCTACAACTATCGACGGGGAAACTTTTTACATGTAAGTGGTGGAAATTGGTTTTGGTTTTGGACTTTTATCCGGGGGCAATCTAACTGTGAAGCATTGGCGAGATAAATTTTTTCACTTATTTAATTACGCACCATTGTTTTTAACATTTCCGCGGTTTTTAAGTTTGGAAAATCAATGAAAAGATTGTTCAAATTTTTGATTTTGCTCAAAATTCGTTTCTTTAAATTTTCGAAATTTTTTTGACTGTTTGTTAATAAAACCCGCTAAAATACACAGTAGCGCGCTAAAAATTTTTCTGGGCAGGTATAGGCCTTCCGCTAGCAGTTTAGGTTTCACCTTAGGTTTTGGTCGAAAATTACAACCGGCTGGCACCAACTTTTACATAATACCTTCCCCAACAACATAAAGCCGACTGCCGATGGTCGTTGACAGATAGATGACCTAACCGATGTGCATGGCATGACTATGGCCCCCCAAGGGGGGAATCTCCCCCCATTCATATTCAAATGTGGCCCGAACCACCGGCGCGGCATATCAAAGCCCCTGAAATGGGCCTCCCCTCGCGCTCATTATTCCGCGATTTCATGCAACCAGCCGGCTGGGAACCCTCAGATTTTGATGGGGGCAAAGGGATTTCGGGTGGCCTTTTGTGGGAGAACAGGAAAAGCCGCGAGCATTGATGGTTGAACATTTAGCTGGGGATTTATATGCAAAACTAGGGACTGCATTTCACCACCTAAAAAACTGAGGTACTGCTCTATTATCGGGGGGAGGCGCCTAGCTTTGGCATGTCGCCCAGTAGCATCCCAGTAATTAAAAAAACCATTTCTGTTGCTTTTTGCGCCGTTTTTAACCATAAAAAGCTAATAAAAACTTACCAACCTTTCGAAAATTATGATTTTGTTCAAAAGGTCATCAATGGCAAAATTTCAGTTTTTAATTTTCGAAAAAGTTTTTTTGTGGTTAAAGATGCAAGAAAATGGTAAAGAATTCACAAACTTCAATTTCTGAAATCTTTTTATGGTTTTGAAGTATTAAAATCACGATAAAAAAAAAGATAAAGACAGATCCCAACGCTAAAACCCCCGCTAGTAGTCCAATACCCCTAAAAACTAGCCACGTAATCAAATAAGAGAAAAATATAAAAAAGCTAACGTATCTCCTTTCAGCTTCGCCGTCTCCACCTTCCACACGCCGACACACGGGATCGCGTGCTGAACTGCCTTTTCGTGTTCGTCTTCTCGATTATGGTCATCTGCGCCTGTATGGCCATCCATTTTCTGCACATGGATCAGTACAACACCACGTTACGGTAGGTCGCGCCTAGAAGTCATACCCTCGTAACACCCAAGGAATTGACAGCCATGATAATTGACACCGGGGTCCGAAGGGACAGCTCATTTCCGATTGTGCCCAGCCAGCGCATCTGGCTGCTAATTGTCGCTAGAAGGGGGATCAGTGTGCATCTTCTACTCGCGCCAACCATGTGCCACAAATAACATCAGCCCAAAAACAGGACACCATTCTGCGTAATGACCGCCCCGCGCTTGCACCCCCAATTGGCCGATCTGCCCCGAGCTGGAAATCCGATCCGTCATGCTAATTGGGGGGAGGGGCCCTTACGATGAAAAACTGGGCTCATCTCGATGGGAAAACAACTAGCAGATGAAAATAGGGCAAAATCTGTTTGGTTAATTTCAGTCAAAAAGGAATTTTTCTAAAACCATCTATATTTTTACGTCTACCTGAACGTAAGAATTTACCAATACTTATAAAATACCGATTTTCAACGAGAATTTGAAGGTATTAAAGAATTTTATCATTCAAGATGGTTCTTCCGCTACAAATACATTACATTTTACCCAAAACAATTTGAAAATAGTTGCTAAGGAATTATTTGGCATCTCAAGGCTTACAGGAAACGCCCCTCCCCCAATAATGCACAAGAACCTCAATTTCAGTGGTTACCGAATCGTCTCTTCTCGCCTCACACAGGAAGACTTCATCGTGATCGGCTCCTCGATCCTGTTCTTCGTCGCATTCTTCGTGGCCATATTCACACAATACCGTGCTGAAGCGTCCATTTTCCGCCTCATATTCAGGTAAAAAGATCGAATCTAAATCTTTTAAAACTATGCTATTTAGATGTTGGGTGATCAACCGAAATTGGACGATACGAAACTATAGACCGGAAGAAGACACTGAGATGCTGGAAGCTCGAAGAAATCGAGCCCTCGTTCAAGCCAACCCACCCGCGCAGTCTATCATAATGCCGAAAGGCCTTGCCTCTACATATACAGCCCATGTACAACAGATAATAGCCCCTAACATTTACTAAATCGTCGCCCCTACTTTCTAGAAGAATGAATTGCTACAGGCCATTAGTACGTTCAAATAGACCAAATGCTCCCGTCGGGTTAACTATCATTGAGCAGCAGTATGTCTTTCAGGAAGCAGTAACTCTTGCCTTGCCTCATTTTGTGATCCATAGATTCTCGTCGTTTCCTTCTCCACCTCACCAGTGTGCCTTTGTCGTTCCGTGCGAATCCCTCAGCATAAAACTGTAACAAATATTTTATAAAGACAAGAATTCTGGTGAAAGGCACAACAACAACACCAGCGGGTGGAGATCAAAATTAGAAAGGAAGATCGAATAGGGGCGAAGAGGTTTATGAGTGAGACCGGAAGTTGGGATATCGCATTTGTACATGTCAAAATAACGGTAAGAATACAAAATAGACATTGGGATATTTTACAAACAGTTAACTATCAATATTAGCGTCTTCCGAGCACTTGTTGGCAGCGAGAAAATGTTGAAGACGGATTTCCTAAAAAATACAATCTGTTCGAACATGTTGCAAAAAGATTCACCTCAACGCTGTCCTCCCGCATAGCCTTCCTCAGCATCAGCTTTGGCTTCGGCGGCACCTTGGGTTGTGCCGTCTCGTCGTAAATCTCGAAACCACATGGCTGTGGTTCTCGAACTTTCAGCGGCAGTCGACGTAATGCGCGTTCTTTCCGCTCATCAGCCTCTGTCAGATGGATGTGTTCAATGTGGGTGTCCATCTCGTAGACGGATTGCAGGCAGTCTCTTTCGAAATCGTCCGTCTCTTCCGTGAAGATCTAAAAAACGCTATTGTAGCTAGCAAAAAATTCTTAGGATAAAAATGCCGCTCAATTTGCACATAAATTCCAAGGCCAAATCCCAACAAAACTCTTATAAAAAAAGGTAAAATAACGTTTGTTTTGCAATATTTCAAACTACTTTAGCTAGCGGCTAGAAAGTTTCAGTGAAAATTTGAAAATCGCTTTCGCACATTTCAATTTAAGGGGTTAAAATTTACCAAATGAGACCATGTATAGCCAAAAGTCGGAACATACCTGGAAGCCATTCCCCGAAGGATGACTTGTCGTCTTGCCGTCTCGATGAAGCCGCGAGGAACCGCCTTCACCAACAAGGCTGGGCAGTCTGACGACGGGCGCCACGGCATGATCCCCGAGTCCTTGGAGCCTTGTCAACGCCACTCGCTTGCCATTTTCGTCCATCATGGTTTCCTCCTCGATATCCGGCTCCTCTTCCCACGAGTCGTTGGCGCGATCAGCCAACTCGCGTCTCATCTACAGCACATAACAATGAATCTCAAATTGTCACACCTGCCGCATCTCCATTTCATTCTCTTCCGTGTTCAACAAGTCTATTGGAGCGGCATGATTAGCGCGAGCTCTGAAATCTTCTTATAAATCGAAATATAGCGTCGTACCGTCTGTATACTTTCCTCGCTTCAGAAATGGAGTTCGCCAGTTCGAAAAGTTTGGCCCAGCGTACGTAGAAGGGTGCCGATCTAGAATAACGTAGAAGTGTAGTTGATGGTCACATACGTAAGCAATGAGCCAATTGTATTTGCATGTTGGAAGATCTTCCAGCCGTTGCCCAGAGAATTCTCCGCCAATTTGTCCCACACTTTCAGCATACGATCGTCGTTGATGTACCGCGGATCTTTCGCATAGCTGAAAGACAAATAAATATTTTCTAAATGGACTACCTGGTTATAATCTTCCAAAGATATTCGTAGAACAGCTTCTGGCGGCCAAAAGGGAAGCTCTCGTCAAACCAGCGGATGTATTCGAGGTAGCATTGCAGTGGATCTTCACTTTCATTGGCAAGTTGAGTAATCTAAAATATGCTACACCAAAACTTTCGCCAAATCACCTCATCGAATTTCTCTTTGGCACGAATCTGCGCGTTTTTCTGCGGGTTTGCTCCAGCCAACGCCTAAAATGACAATTGAGAGAAGGCAAGATTTCAATACCTCATTGATAGCAGCAATTCTGCGTCCTTGGCGCAACGGACGGATATTCTCACGGCAGATCTCCCACTCGTGGCTCAGCTCAACGACATTGGGCCCCTGGCCATCGACGGCAGTCTCCTCGGACATCCTGCAAAAAATGCAATTTATTATCCTATTAAGACCCGTACGAAAAGCAAAATGAAAACAATTAAAACACATCTATCTAAAAAAAGCAATACACACTATTTCACTTCCTTCAGCAATTCTAGATCTTCTTTAGAGGGTTTGTAGCCTTTGTTCAGCATGTCGTCGAGTAAAAGCTGCCGTTTCACATCCTTCTCCAGCAATTCCATCCTGTGCTCCGGATCAAAATACCGGGAGTCAGCCTCTGGTTTTCTACCACATAGCACTTGTATTTCGCGGCCGGATGTTTTTAGGTAATCCAAGCGCACATCTTCAAATCCTGCTTGCTCGAGACGGGTCAAATAGCGTACAGGGTCACACTGGTTCTTTGTGAGCAAACCCCATTTTTCCAGTTTGGCCAACCAGGCAAACTCCATCGCAGAAACCACTTTATGGCCAGGCTGTAAGACGCGGAAAAATTCGCGACAAACTTCCTCCAGTCGCTCGTCTTTCACAAAATATATTAGATCGACGTGCAGCAAAACGTCGAAAAAATCATTGGGGTAGGGCATATGCCGTAGATCGAAAACCCGATGTAGTTGTAGCTTTTCTTCTTCGGACAGTTCTAGTGCAAATCGCTTCCGTGCCACTTCATCCATGTATTGGGATCGCTCTACGCCAAAAAGGATTCCCTTTCCTTGGCCTACAACGTCGTATAATTGGCGGAGGCCTGCTCCTCGTCCATAGCCAACGTCCAAAACACGATCATCCTTTCCAACTGGAGCGGCATCGATACATGCTTGGTAAAGCGGTCGATTCCGTGTATCCGATATTCGGCTGATGATGGAGCCTGTGACAGATCGGACCGGGATGGCATACTGGTTCGCGAGGTCGACGGCCGCATGTCTGGCAAATTGCCTGAGGAAGCTCATCTTCCTAAAATCACTTATTTAAAAAAATTGTAAAAATTTTTCTAAAATTATAAAAACTGGGAAGAAAATTCGTAAGAACTCGGATTCTGTTTGAGATTTTCAAACTAAACGCTTACGGCTTGAAATGTGCTCGCCTCCACGATACAACTAATGACGAGTGGATGCAATGCTAACCTATTGTCATCGTTTTCCGGGAGAACAAATTTAGAAAACGAAAAGCTTTAGTCATTCCCCTTTTTTTGCTAAAATGCTCTCCTTCAATTTTATTCTTGAAAGATATATTTTCTTACTTTAGATGACACTTTTCCTGATCAACGAATGGAAGAAGCGCCCCGGCGGCCCTCAGGACCCCTCGGCCTTCCTGATGGGTCTGGATAGCACCCGCTTCTCCACCCGCGAGAAGGAGATCATCATTGAACAACTCGATGATTGGGACGTCATCATGTCCACCTGGTTCGAGGTAGCCATATCTTTGCGGGTCTAAAAGTCACTTTCTACTTAGATCGCCGACTTCCTCCCGTCCATCGAACGGCTCTACGAGAACACGACGTTCTCCCAACGGCACCGAGCGGCCCTGCTCGCTTCGAAGGTTTGGGTTTTGTTTGTTGTGTCTAGTCACTTTTAGGTCTCCTATTGCCTCGGCGACGATCGCGGAGCCTTGCATTTGGCCCTTTCCGCGAATGATCTCTTCCAGTTGACGCCACGCCCGCCAAGCAAGACCGTTGGCAATCAAGACGAACAGGTCCGGCATCTTTCCATCAATTTATTCTTTTTAGTATGTCAACAAAATGATCGAGATCGGCCTTGACACCTACAAAGGCAATCGTTCGCGCGGCGAGAAGTCTGACCCTCGCTTGGAAGCCCTCATCGAGCGCATCTTCCAAATCAACATCCAGCGCAACGTAGGTGGTCCTTTTCGACCAATCTGTTTCTTAGGAGCTCCGCTTCGTGATTGGTCTCGCCTTGGAGACGCGCCGTGTCGACATGATTGAAGCGGCGATCAAGTCCAGCACTGACTCTACTGGTATAATTACCCCTACTGGTTGCTAAACTTTTTTTCAGGCCTTTTGGCCGAAACCGTGCAGCGTGTGCTCGAGTCACAACTCGATACTGGGTTGCGCAACCAGGTTCTGGATATGCTGCTCCAGATGTTTTCGAAAATGGACAAGCCCGATTTCGTCGCTATCTGCCAATGCCTCATCCGACTCGAGAAACCGAGCGATGTTGCCCTGATTATCCACCGACTGCTTGGCACTGGCGGAGACGGAGAGCTGATGGCCTATCAAGTGAGATGCCTCCTTTTTCGATCAAACCCCAATTTTAGATTGCCTTTGACTTGTACGAAAACGCCACCCAGCAATTTATCAACTCTATCAACCGCGAGCTAGGTGACGATGGGCAGCACGATGGCCAACAACCGTCCACTGCGGAGGGTGGCTCCCGCCCCACGACCCCGGTGAAGAACGGAAGCCCTGCCAAGGAAGAGGGTTCATCTCCGGATGCTACTCCCTCTACGCCCGCGGAACGCCCTGCAACGCCGGTCAAGGAGGCCAAGCCACTGACGCCAAAGTCCCGGATTCGGCTTATCCTATCTGGCCAGGAAACGATTCGCCTCCACATGCAGTTCCTGATTAAGAATAACCACACTGACATGCTGATCCTGAAGGAGATGAAGGTTGTTTCCCAATATGCGGCTTTCAAGTTATCATTTAGGACAGCGTCCGTACAGCAACTGCCCACAACGCTACGCTCATCGCCAATGGCTTCATGCATTTCGGTACCACCTGTGATGATTTTCTGCGAGACAATCTGGAGTGGATTGGCAAGGCCACCAACTGGAACAAGTTCAACGCTGTGGCTACTCTGGGGCTCATCCACAAGGTGCCCTTAAATTTTTAATTTTCACCTCTTGCTTAGGGCCACGAGGTGAACTCGATGAAGCTGCTTGAGGCCTACCTTCCCAAGACGGAGGTTGACCAGTTTGGATTCAAGGAAGGAGGTGCCCTGTATGCGCTCGGTTTGATCGCTTCGTGTTGCTCAAAAATTTGATTTAGGACTCATTCACGCCAACCACGGTAACCCAACGGTGATCAAGTACCTGCGTGACCAGCTGCAGAACGCGCAAGTCTCCCCGGTGCGCCATGGCGCTTGCCTCGGTCTTGGGCTGGCTGCGATGGGAACGCGTGATCAGGAAGTAAGGGTTTTGAGCTTGCATCTAACTTAAATTACCAGGTGTATCGCCAGCTTCGCGACACCTTGTACCTGGACGATGCGGTGACCGGTGAGGCAGCAGCCGTCTCCATGGGCCTGGTCATGGCCGGGGATCACAACGACACCGTGTTCCAGGTTGCTTTTATCGACTGTTTTTTTCATAAATAATTTAGGAAATGGTTCAATACGCCCAGGAGACCCAGCACGACAAGATCCAGCGCGGTATCCGCACCGGTCTCGCTATCTTGGCATGCGGTACGGTTTTTCTGGTCCGAAAGATGATGCATCTTTACAGGCGGCGCTGATACCGCAGAGCCGTGGATCGAACAGCTGCTCGACGTGAAATCCAACGCCGTGCTCCGTCAATCTGGCGTCTGCATGCTCGCCCTGGCTTATTCTGGTACCGGAAATGCCAATGTCGTCAGGAAACTTCTCGCGAAGGTTTTGAGAAATTTACCTCTTTTGAAGAAGTATCTTAGGTGGCTGCTGATCCGAACAACGACGTCAAGCGATGGGCGGTTATTGCCATCGGCTTCGTCCTCAGCAAGTATGCTTTCACTCTGAAGAGTTTTCAACCGTGCGTTTTTAGGGAGCCGGATCAATGTGTCTCCTACACTTCAATGCTCGTCGAGCACTTCAACGGCCACGTCAGATACGGTGCTGCCCTTGCGCTGGGAATCGCCTGCGCCGCGACGGCTAACCGGGAAGCGATCGCCCTCATCGAGCCTCTTCTCTCTGCCAAGGAAAACTTTGTGCGCCAAGGTGCTGTCATGGCTCTGGCGCTCATCCAGATCCAACACACCGAAGCTACCTCTCCAAAGGTATAAGTTAGTGACTAAAGTTTTCCCTTATTACAGAAGCGTGAATGCTTTTGTTTGAATTGTTGATTATTCTATTCACAATCGAAAATTTATATTTCAGATTGCCGAGCTGCGTAAGACGTTTACGAAGATGGCCAGTGAGCGTGGCGAAGATTCGATGACCCGTTTCGGTGCCATGGTTTCGCAAGGAATCATGGATGCTGGCGGCCGCAATGTCACGGTCTCTTTGCAGAATCGCAACGGATACCCCGACTTGGCCGGTGTGATTGGAATGTTTGTCTCGATGCAATACTGGTAAGGCTGCCATTCGTTTCTCCACATTTTTTTAGGTACTGGCACTCATTCACGCTCTGCATGTCTCTCGCTTTCAAGCCATCATGCGTCATTGGGCTCAACAGCAAACTTGAGGTTCATTGATCTGTTCAATCTGAAATGCTTGTTTTAGATGCCGATCATCGAGATAAAGTCAAACGCCAAGGCCTCTACTTTCGCCTACCCTCCCCCGATCGAGCCGAAGAAGAAGGAAGAGCGCGAGAAGGTAATTCTGCCTTGGATCATCCAAATGTTATTTAGGTGGAAACTGCCATCCTGTCGATCACGAAGAAGAAGGGATTGCTGGTTGGCAAGAAGGATGCACCGAAGAAGGAGAAGGAGCCAGAGAAGATGGAGGTCGACGGAGACGACAAACCGAAGGCCGAACTGGCGAAGGAGGGCGACGGGAAGGCTGAGAAGTAATTTCTTGCGCAAGTTTGGAAAGATTTTATTTAGGAAAAAACTCGAACCGGAAGCCCCCACGCATATGATCCAGAATCCTGGCCGTGTTGTCAAGCAACAGCTGAAGACGCTGGCCACCGCCGAGGGTGCCAGGTTGGGAAGCCCGGTCTACATTACATTTTTCCCAGGTACAATCCGTTGAAGCCGTTCTCGATGGGCGGGATCATCTTGCTCCGTGATTCGCGGCCGGATGACAAGGAAGAGATTGTGGCGACGGTGGCTGCTGGCGGCATCCCCTCCTCGACCGGCTCTTCTTCTGCCCCGGAAGTCCCGATGCCGGCTTCGTTCGAAATTAAGCTCGACCAATATTAGGCCCCGTTTACTTGAATGTCCCGTCAGCTGTTTAAAATATGGGAAAGCCGTGCTTTTGTTTCCCTGTGTGTGATATTTATGATGGTCGGTTTGCACAATCTGCTTTGATTGAATAAAATTTAAATGTGTGTATCTCTAGCGTCGTTTATTGAAACCGCTTTAATCTCAAACGCCAAGCGGTGAGGCACAACCAGCTCGTTGTAATCTTATGAATGCGAAGATTTTCTAGGCGTCTCTGGGCGCTCCAAAGAATGGATTGGTGTCGAACAATCACGACATCTAGGATGTCCTTATTTTACGCTTTTCAACCGTAAAATGATACCTCAACGATTTTTCCATCTCATTCAGATCAGCGTTGATAGAAATTGACGAGGAGTTTAGCCGGGTCCGGTATTTTCGTCGGAAGCTAGCAACCTGAATCTATCGGGGGTTATCGAAGTACCAATTCCTACCCGATTCTTTTGTGGATGCTCCCTGGCTACAAAATTCGCGGGTATTCCCTCAGCGATTGCGCCGATCATGGGTTTTTTGTGCCTCCTGTAAGTTCAGCGCTTATGCTGCGTTGCGCCTTATGCTTACTCTCGAGGCCCGGTTGTTGCTGGAGGCGCGTTCGTGTCCGGAAGAGATTGGCTAGAGGGTGAGGGATTCCGGTCGTAATGAAGACCAGGCTATAATATCTTAGTGGCAGTTGTTCGAAAGTACCTCTTCCCTCATATCTCGCTTTAACGCCTGAAGTCGGGCGATGTGCTCCCATAGCCTTTCTAATTCAGCAAGTCGGTGCCTTAGATTCAAGCCTTCCCCGGCAATCTCATGGCACTTCTGTGCGATCGTCTCCACCCTAAAATAGTGATAAGAACTGTGTTTGGAAGAAACTGTTCAGCGTTTTGTCGTAATGTGGCATCGTTTCCCTCACGAAGAAGACGTCTTCTTTCACGCATCATGTCATCCATACAGTCTTCTTCGAAATCGTGCACTCGACGCATTCCATCATCGTCAAGGAAACTTTCTAGGCTTTGTTTTACTGGATTTTTTGTTCAGTCATACTCATGACGCTATTGACAGCTCCACGGTTGCGCGATTTCGCGCCCGACGTTCTCTAAAAAGAGTGTGAGTACGGATTACTATAGCACCTTGCAGACGCCGAAACATTTCTTGAGTGTCCGATAGCAGAGAGGCAAAATTGTAAATGGTGGTGGCCAAAATGGAGTATCGGTATATTCGAGCACTTGCTGGTATCGCTCAAATAGCCAGATCTCTTGCGATTTCGTGATTGCATCATTGAAGATGTTGCTAGAACAAATATAAAAGTGCGCTTTCTTTTTCAAACTTGAAAATGGCGATCAGCATGTTAATCAGCAAAATATTCGATACGAGAAGGAAGAGTACCATCAAAGCTGCTGGTACCCAACTCCCAGGCATGCAAAATTGACCTGAACAGTATATATGTGTGGGCCATTGTCGCAAACATACCTTCGTCGTTACATGGGTCGATGTCCCCTGCATACACTTCACCATATAACATGAAATATGGCTTATAGAAGATGTTGCGAATCTGAATTTGTTACAATTTTTTTGAGGTGATGATACCCTACCAGGATCCAATTCCAGTTATCTCCGGGTGCATGGATGGACACCTTAGATACACCAAATGCTGCCATTGAAACGACCAGGAGGACGACTATGTAAGACATGGCCATGACCTGACGTATGATTTGTATTACATTTTAGTTATTCGAGGGCGTACCATTTTTCCGCCCGTGTGGATGTATGGGCCCAGTAGTGGATGGATGGATAGATATTCAAGTGTCTAAAAGTTTTGAATGTCCTTTTTGTAGATACCTACAACTATATCTAGATCCAAACTAACCTTCATATGCCACATAACATTGCTACAGCAAAGCACTGCCCGCCCATGCCATTGTGTGTTCAAATTGTAGCGTAGGTATAAGCCTGATTGTATCGAATATCGAAAAAATGAAAAGGGCGCCCGGGGGTACTTTTCTGTCAGGTAAAGTCCGAAACCAATCGGATAAAGTGGCACAATATTGGAAAACTGACCGAGAAAGAAGAGGAAAATGGCAAAAGTTGTGAAAAGGTTCCAATACCGATTGAAGAATACGCGAATACGCTCTTTCCACGGTAATTCGAGGGTGATTAACTAAAGCTTGGTTTTTCGCGGGGTTTTCTCGTGGTTACCTTTCTACAATGCTCCAAACTAAATACAAACATGTATGCAGTCAGCGCCCATTCGGTATTTGTTGGGATCGTCTGGAAATAGTGTAATGCATGTTGCCCACTAGCGCTTACCGAAAATTTCACGAGCAGCACATTACTAAATGCAATCAAGAAGACGTGAAAAAAGAATGCCCAGGCCCAAAACTTTGTGATTGGGGCCGTATAAAAGGCATGCCATTTTTGTATCCACGATAGGCTAGAGTCTGGCTAGAAATGGAGATGCTTTGGATCAGGTTTTTTCTAGTTACCCGTCGGAAGCTCTCGCAACTCTGATAGACGCTAGCCTTTCGATTGATGGTTGATAGGTCCTGGCCGAAAGTCACCTGATAAAGTAAGTAAAGTACGGTTAGTACCATGTAGGCCGTGTTAGAAATGCAAATGCCTACTTTTCTTGGTCCACTCCACTCTAAAATAGGATCGGAATCTCGCTGGCCACGGCCAACACTGCTCGTGCTCGTTGTTTTACCCATGATCGATTTCTTGAAGATCTGAAGGACCATTTCAAGTGTCATTTGTCAAAAACGAACTCACCGCCGCAATCTGTCCTCCCACCGACTTATTCCGCTCTCGCCAGAGACTCGACCGTGATTCTTGAACGCCCCAGATTACCTAAAGTTTCGTAGCTAGAGTTACTGCAGTCGCTTTGTACCTGTTTCCAAGCGTCTTGCGCTTCCTCTTTCTGCTTCTGGGCCGCTTTCTCTTCGCTGGCTTCATCTCGCTTGACTCGATAGGCCAATGTGAGGGCGGCTGGCGGGCAAAGCAGTCCGAACAGCACTCGAATATTGGAACGGCTTAAATTGGGTCGTTGCAGATTAGGCAAATTGCCTGGGAAGATGACGAAGCTAGTGTGGCTTATTACCTTCTCAATCTAATCCCACCATGCCATAGCTCGGCCAATAATAGCTGACAGCTAAAAGATTGGTGCTTCTGACAAACAATACCTACCATTGATGCGCTAGAAAGGCTTTATTGTTGGCAAGAACAGCAAGGGAGAGTACGGTATGATGGCCCCAACGCGGCATTTCGGCAGTTAGAAGAGATACTGTAAGCGAAACGCCATATTTTCAAACAAGGCTGATTCTCACCAGTCAACTCGGCATCTGTTTGGTGGCAGTGCTCGAGAAGAAGTAAGCTTTCACGCTTAAATTCACTAAAATCGGATACTTTTTATGTTGATAGCCTACGCGGCATGCTCCCGCAACGTTTTGGCCACCTCCAACTCAAGGTACTCTTGTTCGGCGAGGTTTGCAATAGATTTGTATAATCTTATAATGGGTTCGTTAAATGACAAAATCATTACCGTATGGCTGTCTGGCATTTTAGCAAAGCATCTTCGCCATGATGCCACATGCAGCGGGCCATTTCTAACTTTTGGTTGATCCTTGAAAAAGCGCAGTAAATTACCGGCTCTTCTCGATAGCACGGCCCAAATCATCAACTCATTGAACGGAAAGGCGAAATCGCCTAAAGATTTGTTAATACAATTCCTATTCCTACGAACTTACAATCATTGTCGGGCAACGTCGCCTCGGCGTTCTGATCCTTTCCCAACTAAACTTGAACGATGCCTCTCATTAAAAAAAGCCTACCGATCGCTTCACCCGACGATTTCCCTTCAAACCGCTGGCCCGCCGATGACGTAAGTCATATTTGGAACGGAAGGGTCGGGTAGAATACGGGCATTTATAGGCATCACCCATCAACCGCTCGATTATTTCACCTTTGATATAGCAGACCCCTTTTAAGAGCCCCGTAACCATACCTATATCCGGCAGCGTTAGGTAACGTACACTTTCTCCATTGTCTTCCGGATCAAGGAGACGTACAGAATTCATACTGTCTTCATCCTAAAATGTCCTGTTCTACCACTTTGTTTGGCTCACCATGTTGTAGAGCTGTTCCAATCTTTCGATTGTCAAAAACGACTTCATCGAGACCCCGTTCTCCAATAGACATTCGACAAATTCCACCTATAACCCGTCTTCGTTCGGACCTTAACAAACTTACGCGGTTCAGCCTCAGCGAGTCGGTCATCGCTTGATGAAGCTTCTCTGACGGACAGGAACGGCCAGATGAAGCTAGACAAGCCCGAGCAACATCCACCCGATTCCAAGCCAATGCCAAGGCAAGCTGTAGGAGACGAGTTTTTTTTAAGAGATTCTCCATACCTGATCTGGTAGTAATAGATTCTGCTTTTTGAGAATTGCCGTTAGAATAGCGTGATCAACGTCTTCCTCTTTGCTTTCTCCAAGCCGGAAGACGGTTAGCTGAAATAGTGAGAGCTTGGTAGAGTCTTTCCTAGCAACCTGTTGCTCGTGTCGAACACATTGCTCGATCATCCCGATAATTTTATCGCTCGACGCGGAGTGGAGAAGATTCGAAACCATAGATTCTAGCTGTATTTTCACCTCTGACGGCAATCGTCTGAAGTTTTTGGTCGTTCAAATCATAATTTTTTTGGATACCCATCAGGCTCGACCATTCTTTTCGCATAAGCCAACAAATCAGCAGCTCTTCCCGATCCATCGCAAACAATCACTGGCACTTCCGGTTGCCTTTCTTTTTGATAATTTAATAAAATAGAGACTTACCGATTTAAGTAATGATTAACGGCTGCAATGGTGTGAGATCCCCCTTCAAGTACCGTACAAACCATCGGTACTCTGAAATGGAGACGGAGCATTGTTTCACTATTAGGGAAACTAACTTCCTTGCCCCATAGTGTAGACTTGTATCCGCAAGGTGTTCCTCTAATTTCCGCCTCAAAGCCACTTCAGCACCATGTCGGCCATTTGTACCATTATCGACAAGGAGAAAATACGAATGTCGGTCATTCAGCACTCCCCAGCCAGTTCTGATAAAGTTGTTAGAAACTCCGTGTAAGTAGCTTACTTTGAATGAAAAGTATGTTGATCGTATGCCACTGTCGTATCCTTGCCAATCAATCGTTTCTTCCCCTTTAATACACCCCATGCTACGATTCCGATAATGACGACACGTGAACGCATTCTAAATTGATGACTAGGGAAAAGCCTCGTATTTCTCACCTCGCCGATATTCCGGCCTCATCCAAAGCACGGGCTACGTGTCGAACTACTCCACTGTCTATTCCATGCGTCAGAATCCAAGCACCTTGACTTAAGAAGTTTGCACCTCCTTAATTAACGTTACCGGTGGTCTGTGCTGCTTTCAAAAGCCCTTCCCGAAATAAACGGCCAAGCTTTTCGTGGACCCTGAAAAGCAATAGCCGTTCGAATAAGCAAACTTACTCAAAATTGCTCATCCCTCCATGGACGGTAATTACAAGCCGTGGAGGGGGAAGAACCCATACTTTCTCCAACAAATAACAGATTTCATCCGGATCACTATCGTAGGCGAGTCTCACATAGTGAGCTTTGTGCGCATGAGCACCACCCTAATAAATCGATTTCATGGCGGCGGATAAAAGAAACCTGGAAAACAATCTGGCCGAATGCGTCTGTTTTTGATGCCATCGTGTGATCGTTTATATTCCAGGATCCAGGCGCCGGTCTTGAAGAACGATTCTGAAATTGTATTTTCAGATCTAGCGGTTTTTAGTCGACTCACGGCCAAACCAGCGGAAAATAGGGCTGCCAAAGGGCTGGAGGTAATTCCGGAGAGAGCTGCTTGAGAATGATCGCCAAGAGCACTACCACAACCACACCTAAAATCGTCCACGTGTTTATTTGCTGTGATTTATTAATTTCGCTGCTTGCCAACGGTTCCCCGTGCGCACGATAAATAAATAAACAAAATCAAAAAAGGCGACCTAGTAACTCAAAGCCCTTACCGTTCTGAATCTTCATGTACCGGAATAAAATGTCCACATTCTAGCTTTTGAAAAGCATGCTCGATCCATGGCCCGGCCAGCTTTTCCGACTATAAATACGTATTGTTTATTCAAAAACACCGTAATCTTTTCAATATGGCCAAAACTACCAGCGTTTTGGCGAATTCGGTGGGGCTATCGGTGCATCGAGTATGTTTTCTACTCGGCCCGGCCAACACTGAATTAAATGAAGAGACGGAAGACTGATTGTGGACGCTGATCGAATTTCTTGGAACCTAAATGGGCGTCAAAAAGTCCGGATTGTTCATTTTACATTTAACAAATTTGCAGGCGATGATTGGCTCTCTGGCGCCAAAGTGCTCGCTTCGCCTGATGAGGCCATGTCGGTAAAGCTTGACCACATCACTAAAATCGATATTTTTCAGGAATTCAAGCAAAAATTGAGTAAAATTGTCCAAAAAACGAACGTGGATCCTCCTCAAAATATCCGCCATTCTCTCCGTCATCCGGGCTGCTGTAACCGGTCGAGAGCATTTTGACGGGAGCTCCCCCAGATCAATCTGAAAAAAAGAGTCATGCCGGATCCCATAATCGGGCACTAGCGGTGAAATCGAGCGGCACACTGGGCCAACGAGGGAGGGAACAGGGTAAGAAAAATATCTCTATTTATCTGATTTTAGTTTAGAAAATACCGTTTTGTATAGGTGACAGCTGGCAAAACGGTGCAGACCGGGCTGAAGGCATGTGTCACATGCGCTGGCCAAAAGGCGATTATGGAAATGGTGGAAACGTTGCTCCTAAGTTGACTCGGTCGACGGTGGATGAGTAAGGTAGGAGAGGATGTCGGATTTTATCCCGGCAAGGTCGAAAAGTACAGGGTGTATCAAAAAAAAGTTCCGAAGTTTGTCCCCAATTATCTCGAGAAGGAAAAATATTTCACCGTGCGTTACCATGCCAGAATGCTTAAATATGCTGGGTATGAAGATTTAACACAACTTGATTTTTTCGATTTTTGAGTACGAAACTGTACTATTGACGCTGGTTACGACCGAAAAATGTGCGTTCTTGATCGGGTGGTGGGAAAATTCTGATTTTTGGCCTATAAATAGTTGACATTTGTAGAAAAATAATAGCAAAGTCTTAAAATTTTTGAAGGTTTAGTTCTTTTTTTACAGGCAAAACAAATTTCCCTATTTTGCTTATTTTTACTTTTTAATTCGCAACTCTCTTCAAATACGCTGCCCATGGCTGATCTTTTGCAAATGGTGTCTCCGAATGATAATCTTTAGCACAACACCAAATTTTAGCTGATTCTATGGTATTTTAATATTGCTTGCTAAAACGTGCCCCAGAGGGATACTGTAGTTTTTGTTTTTTCGCGTTTTTCTTTTTATTGTAAGCTGCGTTTTTGCTGAAAATTTTTATCATTGGTAAACACCAGTAAGGGTCACCTATGGGCTAAATATCGCGAAGTTCTAGCCATACAACTTCCCAAAATATGCAAAAAACTGATTTTTGAATTTAGCCACGGAAATGTCTAAATATTTTAATGAATGGGTCCGAAAACTACTATTATTTGTTTTCCTGAAGGATCGAAACGTTTCTATGGTGAAAAGAACGAGAAAACGGCGATTTTCGGTTTTCTACAGTAACCCGCCTGGAGCGCATTTTAGCATGCCAAGACAAAATTCCATAAAACACCAATTTTTCTATTCTATAGTGTTCTCTGGGTGATTGTAAGAGCACCTACAAAAAATTACTTGATTCCTGTGGCAAATGACAAAGTTATCCGGGAAAGTGGAAAACCCCCCTCGGGCCCCGATTTTGGACCCGACGCCCTGGCTCGAAAATCGAATTTTTGAAAATGAAAAAGGCTCCGGGGTTTGGTGGATACAATTAAAGCACGCATCGAACTGTGTATGAGAACAGAATTCTGGAATGATCTGGCTGAAGTTAATGGTTAATTTTGATTTATAACCCGAAAATAATGTTTTTTGAAAAGCCGACTTTGGGGAGCTCTTCTAAATTCGTTTCCCATGAAAAGGTTTTATATTCGCATGGGTTCTAGTTGACTACCCAAGCTGAGTTTATGCCAAAAAAGTTGAGGCTACTAAAGCTTCGAGAATTTTTTTACGTCGGCTCGAATTCGGATATATTTGGACTTTTCACGAATTTCTTTTGAAAGATCGGATGGCCCAATAAATTTGTAAATATAATCATAGAATGCGCCCATTAAGTAGTATTAAATAAAATTATGACAATAATTCTAGCCGCGCAAATGAATTTTATAGACTGGCACGAAGGTCTGCGAAATAGCACGAACCAACCGTTTTGGAAGCGCTAAAAGGCAGCCTTCCAAAGGGGTACGGTAGCTAGAAATTGTGTACATGATAGATGGACGCCAGTTCTACACAACTCAGCAAAGCAAACACCCAAATTCTATCTGCAATTCTAGAAATATTTTTCCAAAGTTCAGTTTCGGGACCTCGAAAAAAGCCATGACCAGGGGGTCGTTGAAAAACTCGAAAAATCATTAATCTCAAAGAATTCTTTGAAGTGTTTGTGCGATTGTACAGAGCTTGTAGGTATTCCAGAACAACTTATTTTGAGGTTCCCGCGATAAGTTTTTTTAATATTCGACATTTACGAAATTTCTCCATACTAAATTTGAGCACGCTATAACTTGCCATCCAGACCTTCGAAAATTCCAAAATTTCGGATATGCGTAGGGGTGGTTCTTATGTGTCCACACTATAAAAACTGAAACCGTTCGGCCACCAGCAATTCAGAAAAATGCAAACGAAGTTTTGCCGGAACGCACAGTTTTCGGGTGTCATTGTATAGGTACTCGCCGAAAAACGAAAAAATCAAGTTGTGTTAAATCTTCATACCCAGCATATTTAAGCATTCTGGCATGGTAACGCACGGTGAAATATTTTTCCTTCTCGAGATAATTGGGGACAAACTTCGGAACTTTTTTTTGATACACCCTGTAGTGTTGCAAACCTTTACCAGGCCACTATAGTAAGCTTTTGTAACAAAAAGAGGCGGCGTTCAAATGCGCACTGCAGAATTGTTCTTGTTTACTGTGTTGCCTCCAAATCAGGCTATGAATCTTATCGTCTTTTCATCGCATTCCTTCCCCTTTTCCATGCTCTGTAACGGCTTGAGAGAAATATTGTATTTGTCTTTTCATGTGGCTTCGAACCCGAATAACGATATCAAATGATTTCTATGCGGGTGTTTCATCATTAGAAGGTGCTTATGCTTTAATTCTAGCCGGTAGCTACCTAGGAACATATTAAATTTTATTACACGACCAGCGCCCAAAACCCGCTTCGCGGGCCTTGGGCGCTGGAATTGGGCCTTTGCATGAAAAATTTGACTTTCCGATAGCTCGGGTCCTTTGGACCCCTTCCCCCCACCGACCACACACGCGCGGGCAAATTGCAAGAATGAGGAAATTTGTATTTTTTTCATATTATGCAAATTACCCCCAAAAATGAATAAAACCGGCTTTAACTTTGTAAACTTGTATTTTATCGAAATTCTGAAAACGCCATCGGAAAGAGGAGGGTCGATTCCCCCAAGTGACAAAAAATCAGCGCATTTGGGACACGGGAAGGCCCTCAAATCGGGCCTCGAAAGTGACATCCACACACACACACACACACAGAGATACACTCCAAAATTATATAAGGTAGGATTTGTACAGGCTTATGAATGCGAAGATTTTCTTGGCGTCTCCGAGCGCTCCGTCGTATGGACTGCTATCGAACAATCCCGACATCTAAGAAGATGCTTGTTTGTGGCTTGAGCATGAAGTTACCTCAACGATTTCTCCATCTCGTTCAAATCAGCGTTGATAGAAATTGACGAAGAATTCAACCGATTCCGGTATTTTCGTCGGAAACTGCCAAACTGTATCTACAAAGGGGTTTTGAATGTTGCCCATCCTTATTCTTACCCGATTCTTTTGTGGGGGCTCCTTGGCTAAGAAAATAGCAGGTATTCCCTCGGCGATTGCGTCGATTGTAGGTCTTTTAAACCTTCTATATTACTCATTAACTACGTTCTCTTCTCTGTCCCTACTCTCTCAGGCCGGTTGATGAACATAAAGAAGCATTTGTGTCCGGAAGAGATTGGCTAGAGGGCGAGGGAGTTCGATCGTAATGGATATCCAACTAAAACCTTTTTGTGTGTCGTCTTTAGAGCTTCATACCTCGTTCTCGTTGTTTTCAAGGCTCTGAAGCCGCAATACATGCTCTGATAATCTTTCTAGTTCCGCAAGTCGATGCCTTAGATGCATTCCTTCCCCAGCAATCTCATGGCACTTCTGGGCGATGGTTTCAACTCTAAAAGTAGAATTTAGGATTGTCAAAGACGTACTGTTCAGCGTTTTGCCGTAATGTAGCATCGTTTCCCTCACGAAGTAGGCGTCTTCTTTCACGCATCATGTCATCCATACAGTCTTCTTCGAAGTCGTGCACTCGACGCATCCCATCATCGTCAAGGAAACTTTCTAGGCTTTGTTTTATTGGCTTTTTTGTTCAATCATACTCATGACGCTATTGACAGCTCCACGGTTGCGCGATTTCGCGCCCGACGTTCTCTAAAAAGAGTGTGAGCACGAATTAGGGTAGCACCTTGCAGACGCCGAAACATTTCTTGATTGTCCGATAACAGAGAGGCAGGATTGTAAATGGTGGCGGCCAAAATGGAGTATCGGTATATTCGAGCACTTGCTGGTATCGCTCAAATAGCCAGATCTCTTGCGATTTCGTGATTGCATCGTTGAAGATGTTGCTAGAACAAATATAAAAGTGCGCTTTCTTTTTCAAACTTGAAAATGGCGATCAGCATGTTAATCAGTAAAATATTGGATACGAGAAGGAAGAGTACCATCAAAGCTGGTGGCACCCATCCGCCGATCACGCAAACAACCTCTGAAATTTTCTTGTATCACCTTCTGTTAGAAAACAAGGATTTTCCGATTAGCCTTACTCGCTATCTGGTCCTCGTCAGGGCCAAGATCATTGCAAGGGTCGATCTCTCCTGCATACACTTCACCATACAACATGAAGTATGGCTTATAGAAGATGTTGCGAATCTAAACTTCTAGCACTTCTTTCTGGGATAAGATCTCACCAGAATCCAATTCCATTCCTGGCCGGGTTCGTGCATTGAATTCTTGGTGACCCCAAACGCCGCCATTGAGACGACCAATAAAATGACGATATAAGACATGGCCACCACCTATTAATGCGTCATTCATTAAATTTCAGGTTTTTTGTCATACCATTTTTCCTCCCATGTGAATGTATGGCCCGAGTAATGGATGTATGGATAGATACTCGAGGGTCTAGAGGCATTGACTTGTCTTGTAGATCCAAACTAACCTTCATATGCCACATAACGTTGCTACAGCAAAGTACTGCTCGCCCGTGCAGTTGTGTGCCCGAATTGTAGCGTAGAGCAAAACCTAATTGAGAAGTGACATAACGCTTTTGCTTCTCACCAAGAAAGAAGAGGAAAATGGCAAAAGTTGTAAAAAGGTTCCAGTATCGATTGAAAAAGACGCGAATTCGCTCTTTCCACGATAGTTCGAGGGCGATTAGCTGAAACGTTGCGTTCAGCATCTTTTCCCAGAAATTACCTTTCTAAAATGTTCCAGGCTAAATACAAACATATATGCAGTCAGCGCCCATTCTGTATTTGTTGGGATCGGCTAGGAATTGGATAGTTGAGGGTTCGTTTCCAATCTCACCGAAAATTTGACAATGAGCACGTTGCTGAACGCGATCAAGAAGACGTGGAAGAAGAAGGCCCACGCCCAGAACTTTGTGATTGGCGCTGTATAAAAGGCATGCCATTTTTGTATCCAAGAAAGGCTAGCGTCTGGCTAGAAGGGGAGTGAAATATGGGCGAAATTCAATTCCAGTTACCCGTCGGAAACTTTCGCAGCTCTGATACACGCTCGATTTGCGGTTGATGGCTGAGAGATCTTGGCCGAACGTCACCTGATAAAGATTATCCAATAAATAATGCTTCAGATCTCACTTTTCTCGGTCCATTCCACTCCAGAATCGGGTCGGAATCTCTTTGAGCACGACCGATGCTGCTTGTACTCGTCCTTTTTCCGATGATCGATTTCTTGAAGATCTAAAATATTTTGTCAATCATGAATTCGGCGGGCTCTCACCGCCGCAATCTGTCCTCCCACCGACTTATTCCGCTCTCGCCATAGACTCGACCGTGATTCTTGAACGCCCCAGATTACCTAATATCTTTCAATTTTTCGAGGCGGCCCCTACCTGTTTCCAGGTGTCTTCCGCTTCCTTTTTCTGCTTCTGCGCGCCTTCTCTTCACTTGCCTCGTCCCGTTTTATGCGATAGGCCAAAGTGAGTGCGGCTGGAGGGCATAGTAACCCGAATAGTACACGGATATTGGAACGGCTTTAATCAATGTCGTTAAACGGGTAATTTAGCCTTTCCAACCTCCTCAATCTAATCCCACCATGCCATAGTTCCGCCAATAACAGCTGACAGCTAAAAGATTGGTGCTTCTAACGGACACTACTTACCATTGATGCGCTAGAAAGGCTTTATTGTTGGCAAGAACAGCAAGGGAGAGTACGGTATGATGACCCCAACGCGGCATTTCGGCAGTGAGGAGAGATACTGTAAGCGAAACGCCATATTTTCAAACAAGGCTGATTCTCACCGGTCAACTCGGCATCTGTTTGGTGGCAGTGCTCGAGAAGAAGTAAGCTTTCTCGCTTAAATTCACTAAAATCGGATACTTTCTATCAGTTGATAGCCTACGCGGCATGCTCCCGCAACGTTTTGGCCACCTCCAGCTCAAGATACTCTTGTTCGGCAAGGTTTGCAATAGATTTGTACAATCTATACAGGTTTCTAAAGATCCGGACGATATCGTTACCGTATGGCCGTCTGACATTTTAGCAAAGCGTCTTCGCCATGTTGCCACATACAACGGGCCATTTCTAGTTTTTCGGCTTAGTCTCGAAAACCCGCAACGGCTTACCGGCTCTTCTTGATAACACAGCCCAAATCATCAGCTCATTGAATGGAAAAGCGAAATCGCCTAAAATAACGAGAAAGTTTGATTTCGATCGACTTACAGTCATTTTCGGCCGGCGCAGTTTCCGAATTTCGGTCTTTGCTCAGCTAAATTCAGTAGCGGGTTATTACTATACTAGAATGCCTACAGATCTTTTGATCTTTCGATTGCCCTTCAAACCGTTGGTACGACGATGACGCAAATCGTATTTGGCACGAAAGGGTCTAGTAGAATATGGGCATTTATAGGCATCACCCATCAACCGCTCGATTATTTCACCTTTGTTAGAAAAACGGTTTCGATTATTATTTTCGAGATTACCTATATCCGGTAGCGTGAGGTAGCGTACACTTTCTCCATTATCTTCCGGGTCAAGGAGACGTACGGAATTCATACTGTCTTCATCCTAAAAAGCACTGTTTTATAATCTTATTTCACTCGCCATATTGTAGAGCTGTTCCAATCTTTCGATTGTCAAAAACGACTTCATCGAGACCCCGTTCTCCAGTAGACATTCAACAAATTCCACCTATAACCCATGTTCGTTCGGAACTTAACAAACTTACGCGGTTTAGCCTCAAAGAATCGGTCATCGCTTGATGAAGCTTCTCTGACGGACAGGAACGGCCAGATGAAGCTAGACAAGCCCGAGCAACATCAACCCGATCCCAGGCCAAGGCCAAGGCAAGCTGTAGGAGACGAGTTTTTTTAAGAGATTGTCCATACCTGATCTGGTAGTAATAGATTCTGCTTTTTCAGGATAGCCGTTAGAATAGCGTGATCAACGTCTTCCTCTTTGCTTTCTCCAAGTCGAAAGACTGTTAGCTGCAATGATCAGTTTTTGTTAGCTTTTTCCTAGCAACCTGTTGCTCGTGTCGAGCACATTGCTCGATCATCTCCACAATTTTATCGCTCGAAGCAGACGAGAGCATATTCGATACCATTGATTCTAGCTGTATTTTTACTTCTGAAGGCAATCGTCTAGGGTTCTTGTCGTTTAAATAATAATCTGTTTTCGCAATACCCATCTGGCTCGACCATTCTTTTCGCAAAAGCCAACAAATCAGCAGCTCTTCCCGATCCCTCGCAAACAATCACTGGCACTTCCGGTTGCCTTTCTTTTTGATAATTTAATAAAACAGATACCTACCGATTCAGATAATGATTAACGGCTGCAATGGTGTGAGATCCCCCTTCAAGTACTGTACAAACCATCGGTACTCTGAAATGGGGATCGCACGTTCGTTATTTCAATTGGGGAACTCACTTTCTTGCCCCATAGTGTAGACTTGTATCCGCAAGATGTTCCTCTAATTTCCTCCTCAAAGCCACTTCAGCACCATGTCGGCCATTTGTACCATTATCGACAAGGAGAAAATACGAATGTCGGTCATTTAGCACTCCCCAGCCAGTTCTGATAAAGTTGTTAGAAACTCCGTGTAAGTAGCTTACTTTGAATGAAAAGTATGTTGATCGTATGCCACTGTCGTATCCTTGCCAATCAATCGTTTCTTCCCCTTTAATACACCCCATGCTACGATTCCGATAATGACGACACGTGAACGCATTCTAAATTGATGACTAGGGAAAAGCCTCGTATTTCTCACCTCGCTGATATTCCGGCCTCATCCAAAGCACGAGCTACGTGTCGAACTACTCCGCTGTCTATTCCATGCGTCAAAATCCAAGCACCTTAGCTTAAGAAGTTTGCGCCTCCTTAATTAACGTTACCGGTGGTCTGTGCTGCTTTCAAAAGTCCTTCTCGAAATAAACGGCCAAGCTTGTCGTGGATCCTGAAAGGCAATAGCCGTTCTAATAAACAAACTTACTCAAAATTGCGCATCCCTCCATGGACGGTAATTACAAGCCGTGGAGGGGGAAGAACCCATACTTTCTCCAACAAATAACAAATTTCGTCCGGATCACTATCGTAGGCGAGTCTCACATAATGAGCTTTGTGAGCATGAGCGCCACCCTTAATAACTATGAATAAAGATAATTGATAAACGAAACCTGGAAAACAATTTGACCAAAGGCATCTGTTTTCGATGCCAGGGTGTGGTCATTTATATTCCAAGATCCAGGGGCTGGCCTTGAAGATAGATTCTGAAGTTACGGTAATAAATCCAGACGTCTTGAACTTTGGACTTACGGAGGAACTAGCTGCAAAACGTGACGGAAAGGGGCTGGCGTTAATTCCGGAAAGAGCTGCTTGAGAATGCTCTCCGAGAGCACGACCGCAACCACATCTAAAAACATAAGGTCGGTTAAGAAACACCGGCTTCGAAGCACACACCGTTCTGAATCCTCGTGTACCGGAATAAAGTGGCCACATTCCAACTTCTCAAAAGCGTGTTCGATCCAGGGCCCGGCTAGCTTTTCAGACTAGAAGAAAGTCGTTTGGATGAGAAAGAGATCCTTGGTTTTCTAAAACTCACCAGCGTCTTCGCGAATTCGGTGGGGCTATCGGTGCATCGAGTATGTTTTCTACTCGGCCCGGCCAACACTGAATTAAATGAAGAGACGGAAGACTGATTGTGGACGCTGATTGAATTTCTTGGAACCTAAATGGGCGTCAAAAAGTCCGGATTGTTCATTTTACATTTAAGAAAGTTGCAGGCGATGGTTGGCTCTCTGGCGCCAAAGTGCTCGCTTCGCCTGATGAGGCCATGTCGGTAAAGCTTGACCACATCACTAACAAGGAGACGTTTTTTGGTGTGAATGGAGTTCTGAGTGGAAACCAGGCCTAATTTGTGCAGAATTTTGCGCTGATTCCAAATATGTTTTCCATTTCTGCTAAATAGCTCGATTTCAAAGGCTATAGAAATTTTAAGATCATTTTAGCCCAAATTTTCCCCTCTTTAGGGACCATTATATTGCTTTTCCCGGCTGTTTTTCCAAAAATAAATATCGTCACCGTATTCAGAAAAAATTTTTCTATCGAATGAGCTATTTAACCCAAAATTGTTGAAAATCGAAAAAATCGACGATACTTGGTATGGGCTGCGATTTTTGTATGGGAAATGGTGAAAAACATACTATTCCTCACCCCTGTAAGCCATCGTCGATCGGCAGTAGCTCACTAATCAAATATACCATTCGAATCAGAAAAAAATTCTCTACTAGATAGGCTACTTAAACAAATTTAAAACGTTATAACAAAAAAGTAGCACAGCATAGCATATGGCTACTCTGGGCCTAAAAATTGTCTTAAAATAGCTGTAACTTTTGAAAGCGAGCTATTAGCAGAAATGGAAAACATATTCGGAATCAGCGCAAAATTCTGCACAAAATAGGCCAGGTTTCCACTCGGAACTCCATTCACACCAAAAAACGTCTCCTTGTAAAATCGATATTTTTCAGGAATTGAAGCAAAAATTGACTAAAATTGTCCAAAAAACGAACGTGGATCATCATCAAAATATCCACCATTTTCTCCGTCATCCGGGCTGCTGTAACCGGTCGAGAGCATTTTGACGGGAGCTCCCCCAGATCAAACTGAAAAAAAGAGTCATGCCGGATCCCATAATCGGGCACTAGCGGTGAAATCGAGCGGCACACTGGGCCAACGAGGGAGGGAACAGGGTAAGAAAAATATATCTTTTTATCTGATTTTAGTTTAGAAAATGCCGTTTTGTATAGGTGACAGCTGGCAAAACGATGCAGACCGGGCTGAAGGCATGTGTCACATGCGCTGGCCAAAAGGCGATTATGGAAATGGTGGAAAAGTTGCTCCCCGCAGGAGGATTGACTCGGTCGACGCTGGATGAGTAAGTTTGGTCGATCCAGGCAAGGCCATTGGGCTTTTAAAAGTGATAAAGCGTAAAGAGGATGAAAGGTTGAAAAAATTTGGAGTCCACATTCGCACCAAATTTTGTTGTTTACTGCCTCCCCTCCAAGGGGACTATGAATCTTATCGTCTTTTCATCGCATTCCTTTCCATTTCCCACATTCTTGAACAGAAATCTTCGGGTATTAAAGTTAGATTTTCAGGCTGAATACGGGTTTTCAATCCGGGAATGAGCAGGAAACGATGATCTCCATCCGTCATGCCAGCTTTAAATAATGCCAGCCATCGAATAATTCTCCGTCGTCATCCCATATCAACGCGACTCCATAGCAAAGACGGCGGCTAGGCAATTGACGACAGGTATGCTGAATATCATTTTTACCATTACCCATGCTCCAGAAAAAATCAGGAGAAGCTGAATGCCTAGCAAGGACAAAGGCAAAAGCAAGGTCAAGGCCCCGGCCTCCAAGGCAGCTGCAAAACCTGCGCCAAAAGAAAAGAAAGGTGGGTGCTAAAATTGCATTCATTTTATCCGAATTTTAGGAAAATCGAAGGAAAGTGTGGCCAAGAATGCGAAGTCGAAACAAGCACCGCCGAGGGCAAGTGCGAGCAAAGAGAAGCGCGGAAAGAGTGCAGGTGAAAAATTCTTCTTAGATTTTAAAATTCTGGCTTTCTAGATAAGAAGGCTTCAACTCCGACTAAGGAGAAGGAGGTGAAGAAGGACGGCAAGAAAGACGCAGGCAAGAAGGCACCAGCCACCGCTCGGCCGAAGGCCACATTCCAGCCAACAACTTTTGAGAAAGTGCAAGAAAAGTCGTTTGACAATACGCAGGGATTGGTATGATTGTTTGGCACCCTTCCAAATATGCTCGAATTTTTAGAACATTGACATGGAGGAGATGCTGCGTCAAGAAGAAGAAGCCCTCTACAGGACGAATCTGAAGGACAAGCTGAAGGAAGAAGCCGAGGAGGCCAAGCAAAAAGCCGCCGATGCTCTCAAGCTGGGCACCTGCGAATCACCGGCCAAGCCGGTGACCCCCCTTTCCGGAAAATGCGTGAAGAAGAACGGAAAAGGTGGCGAGGAGGTCGTCTTCGTTTCGACGCGGAACAACGCCTACGTGCCAGAAGCATTCGACCCGTTCGACCCGCGTTTTCTCAACAAGGACTCTGTGCTGAAGGTTGGCTTTCTCTAGCTGAGGTTATTTGCAAATCCTCAGGTGGACAAGGAGAAGATCATATGGAAGGACGGGGACACGCAAGTCAAGCTGACCCTCACCAACTCGTCGAAACAGAAGCGGGCATTCAAGATGCGATGCTCGGATAACTCGTATTTCCGCATGGATCCGGTGTATGGTTGTGTGGAGCCGAAGAAGACGGCGAACGTCGTCGTCACGCTCGCAAAAGCGTTGCCCGTTTTGCAGAAGATCAAGGTGCTTTTTCGTTTCACGATCTTATAAGATTTCGCGAGTTTGAGGGCCGAAAAAATTGTGCGTTTTAGGTGGAATCGATCGGCGTGAATGATGGAGACAGCCGCGATGCGCGCGAGATACTTCGGGTCGTTGAACCGTCCGCGTTGCAATACACGCATATTGAGGTACACTTTCACCGGGGGATATAAATAGTGGATTTTTTACTATTCGTAATCGTGAAACTTTACAAAATTTAGTAAAACTGTAAAAAAATCGGTTCTCACCAAAAATTGCCGATTTTTGTCCAAAATTTCGACTTTAAAAAGTCTCCCCCCGATAATGCAAAAGAACCTGGCCCTTGAGTGCCTTAAATATATCTAAAATTCAGGTCCATCCCCCGGCCACATCAAAGCCACCGCCAATCTCACCGGTGACGGCCCCATCACCAGGCGGACTCGATCTTCTCCCGAAGGCTCGCATTTCGAACGACAAGTCCGGCTAGCCGCCCCATCTACCGATCCCCATCCCTTTTTCACTCGATTGTGGCCCCTCCCTGAATTCTAGCGGACCGTGAACACGCCTTGAATATTTGCTACCGGTACCGCGACCCTCCTTTTAAAGTGTAACACTATCTCCAGATGCCAACGAGTTTAACATTCACACATTAATACTGACAATTCAAGTCTCGCGGAATAAATCTTTTGCATTGGTTTGCTTGATCATGCTGGAGTTTACAATGGTACTAATTTGAATATTGAGCCAATTGTCTCAAAAATCGTTCATCGATCATTTTTATATTTAACCCCTTGTCATTCGCTATTATGTCTAGCAAGGTGGCCCTTTACAACTTTCAGGGCAACAACAATTCTTCAGCTTAATGATACTAATAGTTCCAAGATACAAGACTCGGGCGAAAGTAGCAAAAGGTTTGTCCCGAATAATCCTAAGTTTCATTTTTTTTACAGCACCCACCGGAGCCCACACAAAAATGAGGTCATCTTCACGAGTCGCAGCTACAGCGATCTTCACAAACAAATGCAAAGTGGTCGGTCTCAATGCACTATTGGTAAGCGCCTATACATTTTCAGCAATCTCGAAAGAAAGCGAGGCTCAGGGCTCCCAAAGCCAGATCAGTGAAGACGAGACGGCACCCAGCGATGACTGTCCCGTCCACACGGCGCTGCTCTTAAAAACCGAAAATGTAAGAATATTGACGTCCGTAATGTAAAAGTATGGTTTAGGAACCGAGTTGGCGCAACCGTACGCACAAGGTTCTGAAGCTGCTCGGCGCCGTCTCGTTCATCGCCTGTCCGCCCATCCCGCAGTTGATGTTTAGGAAGGTGGCATGTTTAGTTCTTTGATTTAACGCAACGAAAAGTTTAGATCCTGTTCAGCCCGCCGCCCAAGCTGTTGCATTACTATTTCGTGGCAACGGAGGCCAGATTTTTTTGGTATTTGCTAAAAGGTGCTTTCAGGATGGGGAACGCGTCGCCCACTTCTCGGCCGGCACTGCACATACCGCTAATCGTCCCCTCACCATCTGCCTGCCCTACATGGCTTCTCCACATATGCAGTGTCTGGACGTATTGCTGCAGCTGAGGAGGATCGAAGTACGTGCCACTACTATGGGCTCAATTTATGATTTCTAGGTTGATACGGTGGTCACTAGCAAGGGCCACTTCCTCGCCGTCATCCGCGTTCGGTGCGAGAAGTTTGAACGGCGAATGAAGTCGCTAGGGGTGAAAAGGTATGGATGGTTCGCTCTAGAAAATTTCTTATAGATCCCCGCATCTCGTCATCTTTTCCCAACCAAACAGCTCGGATATCGGGATGTGCATGTTTACCGATCCGAATTTGGTAAGTCTACAAACTATGTTGATTTCTGCAATTTTTCTAGGCCGACATTGCCGATTTTCTGCAATGCGACGTGCTGGCTTTTGACTATTCGGGTACGATAATTGGGGTAGTGGAGTCACCTTCTAGGCTATGGCATCAGCACAGGCCGGCCGAACGAAAAGAACATCTACGCCGATGTGGATGCTGTCTGGAAGTAGGACACCACAATATGCAAAAAGTCTATCAATCCAGTTACGCCACCAAAACCCTGGGCTACGACGAGGCGGACATCATCTTGTTCGGCTTCTCCATCGGTACGGCGGCGATGGCCTATCTGGCGGCTAAGCACCCGAAGGTTCGTGCTAGCACGCAGCATTGAAGCCTTCTAGATCCGGGCCCTGATCCTCTTCGCCCCGTTCACCTCATTCCTTCGTGTTCTCGCAAGAAACCCGCACAAGGAGGACTCGTGTCGAACCGACAAATTTTGCACGTACGTGGACGCGAGCGGAAAGTCCCTGCCTAAATTCTAAAACTTTCAAAAACAAACTTTTCAGTGTGGATCGGGCGAAAAATATCACCTGCCGCACGATCATCTGCCACGGTCGAAGGGATTGGGTTGTCAAGTAAGAACGCAAAAAGTGGTAATTTACATGTCATCCCTAAATAGGCCCGAGCACAGCCTCGCCCTGAAGGAACACATTGCAAATGCGATGGAACCCGTACTCGTCGACTGTACTCACCAAGTAACTCTTTTTCAAAACTATTTTAGTAGTTTTTTTGCAGAGCATCTTCTGTGATCGTAGCGCCTGGGAGAAGGTGCGCAAATTCGTGTTGGAGAACTGCCACGTGACGACGGAGTGGTTGAAGGAGATGAATAAGGTATGCACAACTATTGTTCCCCAACCTTTTGAAACAGGCCATCGACGAGAAAACGAAAAGCGGCTCCCGGACCTCGATGTCGCCCTGGGCCCCGTCGACGCCGACGAAAAATGTGTCTCAGGAATCGACTCACTCGATCGCCACCAATTCGAAAAGTGTCACAGTATTGTGATGTATTGGGGACGGAATAAAAGCTTAATTTATTCTCTGGATTGATGGCCTGATTGATTGATCGTCATCTTCACATTCACATTTCAGAAAAAGCTACGAAACGAACGCAAAGCCGCAAACTTGGCCACGGTAAACAAGGCTTTTGTAAAGAGTTCAAGAACAACCACGTTGACCATTCCAGAATTGCTTCTGGCCGTGGAAACGCCCAGCAACGGACGTTGCCACCTATTCCCATTGAAGAGTCATTTGCGCCCACTCTATTCTATAGGCTATTCTCAAAATCATGAAAATCTAAATTTAATATAGCCACGTCCGCCAACCATAGACGATTTGCACGTAGTTTAAGTTTATACGTAGCTAGCTGCCTCGTGTGTACTCTAAATTCGGCGAATTGGGCACCGCTTCTCGCTGACTCAGATATTGCTATCCTCTTATCGCTTCACACGGTGTCGCCGATTCGCCCACGGCATTCCCCCGGCGCGCCGGAACTAAGGGGCGGGCTGTGGAAAAGATGCAGAATCAGTGCAAATATCACCGCCTTTCCGGCCGACTCATGGCCATATTTGCACATGACTGCCCGTCGCCTCACCGGCTACAATGCAAGCCGCTTCGCGTTTATACCCAAACATGCCCTCTCGTTCTCATTAACAAGAATTTACTTCTCGGATCAATGCACGGGCGGCGTCCGCTTATCACCATCGGGCTAGGTTGCACGATAACCAATTACGAGCGAATGTCAGCAAAAACGCTAGCATTCTTGATATATTTCTTCCTTTCCCGGTGCATCTGTACGAATAAAAAACAACCCATAAATTCTTATTTCGAATTTTCCGCCCTAATCCCTTTGTTTTGGTCATCTTCTATAGGCTCGTTCAAGCTTTCCTCGTTTTCGATAAACTATAAAAAACAATTAACAACCACTCATCTAGAGCTCCTGCCAAGATGGCGATGACATCGGAAGAACTGATAGAGGTGCTGCTGTGCATCTTCCTGCCGGTGAGCCCTAAATCTAGCACCACACGCTATCCAGAAACCTATCGTAAATCTATCAAAATGCTTTCTAGCCACTTGCAATCTTCTTCCACGGCAAGGTCTGCGACGTGAACGTCATCATCAACATCCTGCTGTGCGTGTTCTGCTTCTGGCTCGGAGGGATCCTCCACGCCGTCTGGTACTGCTTCTTCCGATGAGCCAATCGAACAGCCAGGGCTCGCATCGTAAAATCGTTGAAATATTTTGGTGTACATAAATATCTCAATCGATAGTCGAACATAACACTCGAGAGATCCCGGAGAAAACCGCAGAGAAAACAACTACAGAGCTCCATTTTTGTACTATGCACGTTATCAGACCACTACGCTATAGTCCACTTGATTACACCGCAATTTGTTGTGGTTCGTAATACCGTAGCTCCCATTTCCACTTTCTAATTGCATGTCCGATTTTCGTTTTTTCCATCTTTTCACGATTTTTGCACGTCACATTTTTCTTTGATAAATCCATTAATTTTAGTCACCCTCGGTATCTAGTTTAGGCACCCACCTCAAAATGAGCTCCAAACGATTAGCGTACCTCAAGGAAGAGGAAGCTATGGAAGGAGTCGCGCGCTCCATGCTTATCGAGGTGATTTAGAGGTGGTGTGTCTTATTCTTTTAGAAAATGAAAGCCCGAATCAAGGAACTAGAAGCAGAGCTTCAGAAAGAGGAGGAGATTCATGGCCAACTGAAATCCGCATACACCCACTGCCAAGAGGCTTCGATGGTATTTCGCTTTTTTTATATTACGGTTGTTTATTAGAAACACTACTCAAATCGCACGGCGCTACCCGAGGCTGCCCTGCCAGTAGAAGTCTGTATTGCTGTGCTAAAAGTTGCTGCCGACGGTATCTGGCATGCATTTCAAGGATTTTTCTTACAGATCAACGATGCATCTGCCCATTCGATATTAATGCCAGCATCCAGAAACGTAGGACAATATTTTTATTCGCCAGACTGGAATTTAGTCGAATCAAGGAAGAGGTCTCACGCACCGCGATCCAAGGGCCAGAACAATAATACCGTCAGAAAAACCGTGAGGGTGCCAATTTCGCCTCAGATTGCTCCTTTTAGCCAACGAAACGATCGGGAAGAACGAGAAAAGCGGATGCACATTCATTTGAAGCTGTCGAAGCAGCTGCAAGTAGATTTTCCTTGTGTATTCAGCTTTTATTTTAGAAGTGGATGCACGCGTCGTGGAGGCACCGGAAGAAGTTCCGCAGAGCAACACGATTATTGGCCGGCGCATCCCGAAGAAGACGATCGCATTGTGCAAAAAGGAAAGGGATCGATTTATGGACGAAATGGAACTATCCAGCAGCGGTCCGTTTTTGCTTTGGCTGCAATGTTTTTTTTAGATGAAGAGCCAACGGCTTCCTCTTCGGATGCTGCCGCGAATTCAACCGAAGACCTGCCCACCGACATTCCGCACAAGCCGGTCGCCGGATCCTCTGATGACGAAGATTAAGCAGTTTTTTTAATTTTAGCAAGACTATGTTCGAGAAAAATATTATTTGCGGATAAATTTGTTAGGAACTAGCTCGTGGGATAATTGATTGGTTGAAGTACCATGTAATGTTCAGCGACGTTACGTTTCCCTTATTTCATTTTCACAGCTCATGGCTAGTTGTACGAGCACGAGTACCTCTCCGACTATTACCGCGAGTGGCACAAGCGTATTGCGAAGTATTTTGCCTCAGGAACTTGCTGTCAACGCTGAGGAGATTCGCGCGGGCTTCCCGATCCCCTGGGATATACCCTGTGGTATGATTATACACTCTCCTACGCATTTTTTTTAGATATGACTCGCAAGATCAATGGGCTAACACTGGACGAAATGTGGCGTATGCCTCCGAAGACTCCATCTGAAGACCGTCCTGTCACCTCGGCTGAGCTGGCGCAACATTTCAACGCTCAGCAAAAATTCTTTGCCGATTGCAGGGAAAAGCAATTGCAGGAGCACGTTAAGCAAGTTGTATGTCACCTCTTGCCTGACGTTGTTGAATTTCTAGGTATCACCATTGGAAGAGCGCGCCAAATCTGCATACAAGGCCTTGGCGAACCCACAAGGCGCGTTATGCTGGGACTTTGAACTGCCCTTCCAAACATATAGTCGGCCGAAGTATTCGAGGAAGGTCTTTGTGGGAGGCAGTAAGTTGGCCGATTGTGTATCTATATTCAATCCTAGTACCTTTCGAATTCACGCAAGACCAGATGTATGACGCATTTCTTCCATTTGGAAACTGTCAAATCGAATGGCCAGGCCAGCACCCCTATCATCGGGCTCGTGGATATCCACCGAGAAAGGTGCTCTTTATTTTTTATAGATGATTTTTATTTTCAGAACACCGGATACTTGTACGTGATCTTTGAAGAGCCATTTGCCGTCGAGACGCTCATTAACCATTGTACGAGTGAAGCCGGTGGATTGAGGAACCTCTACTTTGAGCTACGTATACCACGCCGCTATGCGAAGCAGTCCAGCAGGGTATTGTCAGCTCTTGCTCCTTTGATGTTTTTCAGGTGCAAATTATCCCATGGATCGTTTCCGATGCTACTTACGTTCATACTCCGGCCTCGCCCCTCGACCCAAAGCTGACTGTTTTTGTCGGCGGGCTGCACGGAATGGTGACGGCGAAGGCGTTGCATTCGATTATGAGCCATTTCTTTGGAGAAGTTGTCTTCGTTGGCATAGACACGGACAGGCACAAATATCCGATAGGTAGTCAAGGTTATTTTTCATTATTCGTTTCTCAGGAAGTGGACGTGTGACGTTTCTGTCGCAAACATCATTTTTCATGGCGGTCAAGGCGGGGCATGTGGACATAAGAACTAAGAAATTTTCCAAACGAGTCCAGATCGATCCATTCCTCGAGGATGCACCCTGTATGGTGGGTTTTTGCTACATCGCCTCTTATCGGTACTTTAGACATGTAAAATCGAAGATGGAACATATTTTTGTCGGGACAGGTCGTGCTTTCGTTATTTATGTGGACGCTGTTGGGAGGTATGGTGGCTTGGCTTTAGCACATTCATTTTTAGGAGCGCCATGACAAGGATGGTCCCTGGCGAAATCATCGGCATATGGAGAAAAGCTCGTCCCGCGAACCGCGCATTAGGAGAGATTCGATCAACAACAACTATTCAGCTGGGGCTTCGCCGCACTACAGTGCAATGTCAGCATGGTAGTTTTTCTATTAGTTTTGGAAATCTTTGCTTTTTAGGAGCCTGAATCCGCATTTGCACATCTACGCACCGCTCCTCTCTCCGCAGTTGTCCCCACCAAATGGTCGTCCGAACTCTCCATATATTCCGTCTCATTTCGACCAACGTCCGCAAAATAAGAACGCACCATCGCAATTCTTCACATACCCGTCCCTACACGGGAATCCTTTTGCTGTTATTTAACGCACCGTTTCTTAGCTTACCCATGAGTTTTACTTAATTGTTAGCTTCGAATCGTTTGCTTTTGACGCATGGTTACCAATTGAACGTTGTTATTGATTTGTTGTTAAACTGTAAAATTGTTATGTCGTCTTGTGTGTATATATAAATAACTTCGACAATACAATATATGCATGGAAGCGTATTGGTAGATACCTAACCAAGTGATTTTTATCTTTCAAGGGAGCCGCGAGCGTTTCATATGCGTTTTTTGATAGGTTTTAGGCTGCCTTGTATAGTTTAGGTTTTTGGTTTTTGAAGCGAGGTTTGATGGCTGCTGGCAGCCAGGGGCTCTTTGCTAGACGGCGCGCCCATCACAGTAGCTCTAGTCGGAAATATGGCAGCGCAGACATTTCGCTGAAAGAACACGGCGGTCCTTTATATTCGCTTTTCCTCATTTTATTAAATCTCAAACCCAAATAAAATCATAATTTAGCGATGTCTCGTTTCTTCCGTGAAGGTGATAGCGATTCTGACGCTTCAACCGACTCGTCGAGCTCCGACGATGAGCGCGAGGTGCTGCCGACGACACGCGGCGTGATGTAATAATTATTTATTTGCTATTAACCCCTTAATATAGACGGCGAGACTTTGCTTACCCAAGTGATGACGAAGTCGAGGAGAAGCGCGTCGTCAAAGCGCACAAAGACCGCAAGTACGAAGAGCTGAAGATGCTGATTCGGAAAACGCGGAATGCTAGAAATGTCAAGGACTTCTCGGCTCTTTACGATCGTGAGTTTTTCTACTAATGTCCTAGCCTTTGTTTTACAGATTTCGAGGAGCTTTGCAAGGGATTCGAGAAAATGAAGCCCATTCTCCGTCGCCAAAACCTTCCCATCCCGCGTTTTTACGTGCGTTACCTGGTGGAGTTGGAAGACTTTGTCCAGGAAACGTGGAAGGACAAAGATGCCAAAAAGGTCCGTCATTTAACCCGCATCTTATGAATATTTAGACCCTCTCCAAAGTCAACCAGAATGGTCTGAATCGATTGCATCAACGCGTGAAGAAACACGCTGAGGGGCACACAGAGCCGTCTCTAGATTTGCTGGCAGCCGTCAAGGAGTTTCGCGAGAATCCGGATCCGGTTGGCTATGAAAGTCCGGAAGAGGAGGAGAAGCCCGAAGACGAGGCACCTGGTGCTGAAAGTGGGGATGAAGATGAGGCCCCGAAACCCAAAGCAAAGGCTCAAAAGGATGTTGACGTATGTTCCATTCTGTTTTTATCATTGTTCTTCAGTCCGATTCTGATGAATGGTCTTCTGACACCGACAGCACCACCTCTGAATCAAGCATTGATCTAGGCGAGCAACAAATGGAGGAACTGCGAAAATACTTCCTCAAGTATAATTTTTCTAATTACCTCATTCCTTTTAGAAAAGAGTTCCGTGACGATCTTCCCGATGAGAAGAAAAAGAAGAAGGAGAAGCGTGATGACAAGCAGCGTCGCAAGGTTTTTATTTTCTTAGCTGATTGACCAATCATTTTCAGAAAATCTCGATCGTCAGCGAGGATGAGGAAGAAGAAGGCTGGACCGAGGTTGGCAAGAAGGACGAGAAGGTCGTATTGTTCCCACCAAAGACCGAAATCACCATCGAGGTAGAGGAAGGATTCTTCTTCGAAAGTGTGCCTTTTTTAGCTCTTCATTGAAAAATTCAACGAAATCATGGCTGTTCGCGGGCGTAAGACTACAAATCGTAAGCAGCACGTCAGGACGCTCCAGGAGCTCTACAATATAGCTGAAGAGGTTTGGTCCGTAAAATAGTTTTAGCCTTCCTTTTTAGAAGAAATTCGGCGGTGGTGTCCTGGTGAAGGTGCTGTTCAGCATCGTCTCTGCCCTCTTCGAGCTAAGCGTCAGTATAAGTGACAGCATGGATTTCCAAACCTGGCACAAGTAAGGGACTTTATCGCTTCAAATAAGGTGTTTTTAGGGCCCTGGCTGCTATCATCAACCTGACGGACCTGCTTATCGAGTCGGGGGTTCATCTTTCGATTGGCATCACTGAGGAAGACGAGAATTTGACGGTATTTACAAAAGTATTTTCGGAAAACTGGCATAATAGGATCCGGAGAAGCCCTACAAGGTCAACGGTTCTATCCTGCTCTCCATCCAGCGTCTCGATACCGAGCTGACCAAGATTCTGCAGAATGCCGACTGCCATTCAACGGATTACATTGACAAGTAAGTGCCGGCTTCTTTTTATCGGAATTATTAACTTTTTTAGGCTGAAGGGCGAGAAAGATCTTTGCGGTCTCATTGATAAGGTGCACAGCTTCGTGGATGAACGTCTTGATAGTGGGCTCTTCGAAAAGGCAGAAATTTGCAAAATCTATATGCTCCGGATTGATCATCTCTATTACAAGGTAAAAATTTGTTACATTTTTCACGCTCTTTAGTATGCCGATACGATCGAGTTGCCGAACGGCGTCACCGCTCATGCGTTGATGGAGAAGCTTTGCAAGCAAATTTATGCGGTATCGTTGACTTCGGAAATTTTTACTCGATTTTAGCTCGACGATGAGAAGCGCTTGCGTCAGCGTGCCATGCTCTGCCACGTCTACTTCTTGGCCCTGCACGACGAATGGCATAGGGTACTTGACGTCAGCAAATCTTATGCAAACTTTTTAGGCTCGTGACTTGATGCTGATGAGCCATCTGCAAGCAATCGTCGACCATTCTGATGTCTCGACGCAGATTCTATACAACCGCACGATCTGCCAGCTGGGTCTCTGTGCCTTCCGCCACGGGTTCATTCGGGTGTGTGCTTGGTATATTGGTTACGTGCACGGTTCCGGGGCACAGGGCCCTGGTTCGAGTCCCACGCATGTCTTGCGGCACCCAAATGGGGCGGCGAAATTGCTACGGGGATATAAAGACGGGGTCGCGGAATAAGCATCTAAGCTTTCAAGGCTCATGTGCTCTAGAAGATTTCCAACAATTATTTTTTTAGTTTTGAAACTTAATTCCGAAAAATATTTCTTTCATAAAATTTTTTTAGGAGGCTCACCAGGGTCTCTCCGAGATTCAAAACACGCAACGTGCCAAGGAGCTGCTTGCCCAGGGCATCGCCATGCGTCAACATGACAGGACTGTGGAGCAGGTACAAGTTCTACCTTTTTTGCATCCAATCCCGTTTCTAGGAGAAGCTTGAGCGCAGTCGCCAGGTGCCCTACCACATGCATATCAATGTGGAGCTGATGGAGTGCGTCTACCTGATCTGCTCGATGCTCCTCGAAATCCCGCACATGGCCTCGCATGAGTTCGAGCTGCGCAAACGTCTCCTCTCCCGCTCGTTCCACTATCAACTCAAGCAGAACGAGAAGGTAATAAACGTTTTCACTTTTTTCAATTTCCGCTTTCCTTCAGTCGTCCTTGGTCGGACCCCCGGAAAACACTCGTGAACATGTTGTCGCCGCTTCGCGGGCTATGCTTGCTGGTGACTGGAAGAAATGCCGCGACTTTATCGTCAACGAGAAGATGAACGGAAAGGTTTGGGCTTCATAGAATTCGTTTAGCCTTTTTTTAAGGTCTGGAATCTGTTCCGCAACTCGGATACCGTGAAGAAGATGGTGATTCAACGCATCCAAGAGGAATCGCTGCGCACCTATCTTTTGATGTACTCGACTGTCTACACCACGGTCTCGCTCACCAAACTGGCTGCCCTGTTCGAACTTGAGGAGAAACACGTTCACTCGATCATCAGGTTCTTTACCAAGGTAAAACTTTACAACCTTTTGTTTTTAGCAAGATGATCATCTCCGAGGAATTGTCGGCGACCCTTGACGAGCCAACGGGCTGCGTGATGATGCATCGCGTCGAGCCGAGCCGTCTCCAGCTTCTGGCTCTTCACTTGACCGACAAGTTGCACCAATTGGCCGAGCAAAATGAACAGGTAATTTGGAGTCTTCTATCCTCAATTATTCTTCAGGTCATTGAGCCTCGTGGTGCTGGCGGCCGCGGTTATAACGGGCCCGGCACTTGGTTTTCCAACCGTGGCGGAGACCGTGGAGACGACAAGAAGAAGCAGCAGTTTCAAGTAAGCTCCTTTGTTTCCGGAGTTTATGTTCATTTTCGTAAAATCTTTTTTCTGAAACTCGTTTTGTCAAGGGAAATGTCGTAGACTGAAATTTAAAATTGTTGGATGCGTAGCAATATTAAAAGTTTAGCTATGTTTGCTCAAATTTTTTGATTTTTGGTAAACGACAGTAGTTCTTTCCAATAAAAAACATCCACTGCTTTCAGGGCGGACGAGGCGGAGACCAGCGCGGCAAGGGCAACGTCTGGGGAGGTGGATCGTCTCGCGGCGGACATCAGCAGGGCCGACGAGGTGGTCATGAAGGAGGCCGTCCCCGCAACTAGATGCTCTGCCATCGCCACAATTCCATTTAACACCGGTTCTATCCCGTTGCCCCGTCCCCATCTGTTGATTTATTGTTGAGCGCCCATGACAAGACCCTACCATCACCAATTGTCATGGGCGCTCGAAAATCTTTGTTCGCTCTTTCAGATAGTTTAATTTATCCCCCACCTTGTTTCCCACTTGTTGCTTCTAATCGGCCGATACCCGGGTTAATCCCCCGTGGCTTTTAATGGGTTATCAATAAATTTTAACGATACTTTTAAGGGTGAAAAAGGGGCAGGGGATTGAAACACTGTGGTCTAGCCGGTTGTGGACACAGCCGGTGCCGCGACACGAATGAAGGCGTGGGGATTAGCGGGGTTTGAGATTGATTCATATTTCTGGTGTTGAGTATGCGGAATCATGGTAGCTTTTGGCTGCTCTACCTTCTAATTCTGGTTGTAATATTTATTAAAGTTTATCCGAGAACCAGGAGGGTGGTGGATGATCCCGTTGTGGCCAAGGTATACATGGTTAGGGTCGGGACTCAAAGGTATATTATCGTTCAAGGAACAATTGGTTTGGCCTAACCCTCTGGAAAAGCAAGCAGCACCTGTTGAGAAGCCGCGAGTTCGGTAAGGGCTTAAAAAAAGTATCATACGATTAAATATTACTTTAAGACAAGTGAAACTATCCAAATAAAATTTCATAGGTAGTTATTTAAGGTATCAGAGCATACTCTTATGTAAAACACCTATTTTCGTCACGAATTTAGGCCCGTACGAATTTTTTAGACCAACTCAAGGCACCGTCCGCCCAGAATATCTGCAGCAGGCCCACAAATGTATGAGAGACCAGCTGGCGACGAAAGTCGACCGAGATGTGAGGAATTTGTGAAATCCTGAAATGTGCTCTCCCAGGTGTGGGAGGATTTCAGCAAGGTCGTCAAGAACTGCACCCCCTACGACGAGATGCGCATCAAAATCTACAGCAACGCCGAGCGGTACAACTATTTCCAGCGCCCCGCGCGCTACGATGAGAACCCGTTTTTGGTTTGAAATTTTTTTTGGAGAAGTAATCATATGGTTTCCAGAAAAATGGGTGCAATCTTGTGACGATTGGGACGAGTGAGGACATGCAAGCAGAGCTCTCATTTTCAGTACGTTTCTCTGTTAAGTTTTTGAAAAAGCTGGGTTTTAGAAGGATTTTCCGGCTTGTAAATTCCTGGGCGCCGATCCGAAACCGGAAAAAGAACGACAATACGTTCAGGTAAATTAAGGGTTTTTATTATAGGGTTTGGTTTAACTTTAACGCGGATCAACCTTTAAAATGAAAGATTATACGCTTTTTAAACAGGTCGGAAAGTTTGTGAATCAACTCATCACCCTGAATGGAACGACTGCAGGTAATTAGGTTGACTTTCTTACTTTATTTTTTTCAGGAAATTCGACGGCTATAGGAATCGTCCCATTTTTCACTGAACACCTTCAAGAGTCGTAGGAATATAATAAATGGGAGCCCATACTTTTAGAAAAATCGTCGACGCGCTGTGGATGGACAACGAGTACGAGGAGTACGACTTGTTGCCGGCGATTTTACGCACAGACCCGCTATTCCAGGCCGGATATCGTATATGTCAGGTTGGGAGGAATTTCTTGACAACTCTTATCAGTGCTTTTAGCTTCAAGTCGAGGTGCACGGACACTTGGAAAAGCCGGAAATCATCGCAAAATGGGCGCGCTTTGTGCGGCAGCTATTCGACGAGGGCCGATATTTGCCGGTGCACTCGATGCAGTCTGTGCATATTAGGTGCGCTTTAGGAGATCCGGTGCTTTCGCATTATCGGGGGGAGGGGCGGGGTGCAAGTCTTTCCCGTAGCACCCAGTTATTAAAAAAATAAATAGAGGAAGTGTTTAAACGCTATTTTTTACTATTCCTATATGTAAAAATGTTACAATTTTGATTACAAAAAAAAAATCGCTTTTTTACCAAAATTTTAACTCTTAAAATTTTCCGAAGTTTTCTAAATAGTTTTCAGCGTTAAATTATTTACAAACCTATAAAATGTATGTAAGAAATACATAAAGTAGATTTTCGACCTAAATCCGAACTTTTAAGGTTTAAAAAGTTTTTTAAGCCTCTTCTAACTAACTTTTTTAAAGGTTTAATTTTTTTCTGAATAGTTTGCCACGAGAAATATAGCTAAATTATACTTTAAAGTAACTAGAAACGCTATTAAATACTTGTTATGACTTGGCTGGATGATTTATAAAAGCATTTTGCTTAATTCCAGGACGTTCCTATTCAACTTTGGCGACGATGAGTGCTTCACGCGTTTTGTGGAAACGTTTTCGTTCGATAGTGACGAGTTTTACCCGATAAACGAGTAGTGTGGATTTGGCATTTTATGGCACTACTGATGATGATGGACAATTGATTTAGGGCCGGGGGTTGTAAATGAACAGTGGGCTGATTTGGGGTTGGATCTCGCGAGGGGTTGATGGATGGATCGGGCACGCGTGATCCGCCCATTCCGGGAGTTTTGCACGGAATATAGCCACATACACACTCATATCGTTGACACCGTCTTCTTCTTCCCCCTATCAGCCCCTCAAAACAACAACACTGACAAGCGCCCGCATGGTCTCCGAGTTTGATTCGGTAAGCTTAATTTTTATACTTTAACTCTTCGAAAAAATTGGTTTCTTGGATGAAACTATAACTTATATAACGGCCTACGTTAAAATACGCCGAATCGACTATCCCCGCTGAAAAAGTGTGCGAAATTGCATTGAAAAACGAAGTAAAAAAGATAAATTTGAAAGTCTGGTCAAATGCAGTGATAATAAAGTTAAAATACACAACTAACTTTTGAAAAATTGGTCGAAACAGCGTTTTTCGCAATATTTGATCCTGTACATTGGAGTATCGCGTTGTGAAAAGCGGCTACGCAATCGACGGGCGTACGCTGTTTCGGAGTGTTTCTTTAAAGTATAAAATAGCTGGAATTCATGCCGCTAAAAGTTAACAGTAGCAAAACAGTCTATATATCTACCCTGTTTTCCATTGAATCGTATACCTTTAATTTAATAATTTTATAGTTATTTATAATTATTTATGTAATCCTCTACCTACTTGGCACCAATATAGCCAAAAATAGAGTTTTTGGGTGCATAACCCAGCGGTCAGCCAGCCAGCAGACACCATTGTGGGGCCCAGGGTGTATGTGGTGGACATGCATGTGGAATGAGACCTTCTAGAGGCCCCTCTAGGGGGCCCAGTCGAAGGTTGCTAGGGGCCGGTCAGTGGCCCTGGCCGCCCTCCCTGCCCTCTAGGTCCGGGACGTCATTAGGCGCTTTTCGGAGCTTTTGGGGGGAGATAAGTGCCCCGAACTCCCTGGGGGCTTGTGAAGGGGCCCACCAAACCCCCCACTAACGTCCCCGAATCCACTTCAGCGGGGTGTTCGCCTGGTGGACGCTACATTCTAGTTCAGTTCCGCTTGGTCGTCAATAGTTGCTATTCATTTTTTGTTTATAGTTATTTTAAAAGAAATCTAGCTTAAGAAAATCGTTAATTTATCGAATAACGTTTCTTTATGTATTTTCAATGCCCGCGACACGCAACGCATTGACCATGCCGCGCCGTGTAAACTTTTGATTACTTTTAGAGGATTTTAAAGTGCAACTGATTAAAAAAATCAAAATCTATAGGAAACTGAACAAAATGGATAGAAAATAAAGTGATCTTTAGCCCCCTGGACTCTGCCGTGTTCCCCCTAATGGCTTATTTTTCCATTAGCGTGCCAAGGGGGCCGACCGGGCTTTTCTGCCCTCCACCTCCATTAGCGCCAAATTCTAGCGCCGACCCCCCATTTCCGGTTCTCGCGACATTATAGTGGTTTTTTTTTTTTTTTGGGAAAATTTTTCCAAAAAGGGGGGTTTTTTTTTTGAAAAAAAAGGGGGGGGGTTTTTTTTTTTTTTTTTTTTTTTTTTTTTTTTTTTTTAAAAAAAAAAAAAAGAGGATATTAACCCCAAAAAAAAAAAATACTTCCAAAAAAAAAAAAGGGTTACAATAGCGAATTCTACCATTAATCTATCCTCTGATACCTTAAAAATGTGGAATTAAAGCTTTGCTTTTAACAAAGAGTGTATTTTATCGTTTTTAGTCGTTTTTGATTTGCTAGAAAGTTTAAAAAATGAAAATTTCAATTTTTATAATTTTTTAGGAGTTTCTATATCTAAAAACCGTAAAATTCTATAAAAATGGTTTATATTCAGCTATAGTGTTAAACCCCACCCCCGTTAAAGGGAAAGAACCCCATTTTGAAACCCGATGAATGGTTTCATCGGCTTCATCGTTGAAAAGCCTCAGGGAAGGGGGCAGATATTCAGAAGGAGGGCCGACATGTCTGTCTGTTTGTGTGTGTGTGAGTGTTGTGTAGTGGGGGTGTGAAAGGGGCCATTTGGGGGCCTAGGAGGGTCCAAAGGGGGCAGGCAGACGAGGATCCTTTCAGATCTTGGCCCTGTCCCCTTCCTGGCTAGGGGCCCAGCTAGGGCCCAGTCGCGAACCCGCCCTCCTCCTCGCGCTCAATGAAATCTCGTCGACTCGGAGCTTTACGTCAATTTGCGTAGGCTTTCAGTCCGATTTCGGGGGTAGAAAAAGTTCAGAAATTGTGAGTCAGCTCGACAGTTTGAGTTTTGAACGTTTTTTTGAGCTTTCTGCACTTTTTGCGTTTGTTTTAGCTATAGAAAATGTTTGTTTGTTAGCAAGGATCGAGGCGAGGTTTTTCGTCTTGCTTTTTTAAAGTAATAGACTACATTATTTAGCTTTTTTTAAATAAATAAACGGTGGAGCAGTGCGTTAGAAACTTCTGTTTGCGAAATTTTAGCTTGAAAATTCGATTGGAAATCCTACCTTATATAATTTTGGTGTGTATCTCTGTGTGTGTGTGGATGTCACTTTCGAGGGCCGATTTGAGGGCCTTCCCGTGCGTAAAATGCTCTAATTCTCCGTCACTTGGGGGAATCGACCCTCCTCTTTCCGATGGCGTTTTCAGAATTCCGATAAAATACAAGTTTACAAAGTTAAACCCAGTTTTATTCATTTTGGGGCTCCGGGAGGGCTAATTTGCATAATGTGAAAAAAATAGAAAATTCCTCATTCTTGCAAGTTGCACACGCGCGTGTGGTCGGGGGGCCGAAGGGCCCGCGCTATCGGAAAGTCACATTTTTCATGTAAAGGCCGCATTCCAGCGCCCAAGGCCCGCGAAGCGGGTTTTGAGCGCTGGTGTAAATTAATAAAACTATGGATTAACGGATTACAATTCGTGGACGTGGATTCCGTTTCCGGCCAAAGCACGCTTTTCGCTACCCATTTTACTTTTTTTGATTTTATGTCGAAAGTAATAAAACTATCATTAACTCGCTAAAAGCTTTTTCTTCATCAAATTTTTGATCGGCGGCTTTTGGCTAGGCGTATTTCGTCCCTAAATCCCCGACTTCACCAGTGGAACCCTGACGTGAACGCCAGATGTAGTGGCTGTCATTTGCATTCTGCCAGCAGCTCGGCTTCTCCCCGGGGGATTTATCCCTCAAAACCCTTCAAACTCCTTGTATGCGCTACGGCTTTGTTTTGTTTTTGTTGTGGTGTCAGCTTTGCTGTACCACATTAGATCCTCTTTCCCGGCTGTCCCTCCTATCCAGTGGGTAAGCCACCGGCGCGCGCCCCCCTGCGGTCGCGTCGCGTGCGCCACTTCCCGCCTAAGACTAGATTGTATTATCTCGTTGCGGGTCCATTATCGGACAGACTAGCTTGTTGCCGATCCTCCTGCCACCATTTATGTAGATAAACAGTTGTTCGATAACTGTACGTCCAAGCGCATTCCACATCGTTCGACTACTCATTTCGAGGATCACAACAACTGGCGAGCAGGATCAAGAACTCACGCAAGATCAAGGGATGCCCCAGCCAACAAGCCACTCGAGCCCGAGAACGTGATCAAGGATGAAGAAAGAAGGTGGAGAAGCGCAAGAAGTCAGTCAAGCCGACGAGACAAGGACCAAGAAAGCGACAAGGTCAAGGAGGCGACAAGGTCGAGGTCAAGGACGTCTACATGGTTGGCAAGCGACAAGAAAAGAAGGCATGGCGGAAGATCAAGAGGCAGAGGTGCTGATGCCGGCGGGCCCATCAATGGATGATGTGCCGTGCCGCTCGTGCAGGATCAATTGAAAGGGAGGTGTTTTGTTCCCCTTTTTGCCCCCACATTTCCGGGTGGAGGGCCGCTGCCGTTGTCGAAGAGGAGGAGGGTGAAGTGCCTGAAGTGCCCGGCACCGGCCGCCTTTTGCCCCAAGGACCGCCAAAGCCGCGAAGGTAGCAGAAGAAGAAAGAAGTTGGTTGTCCTCAACCAAGAAAGGACCGAAGGGGTGCGCGTGTCAGCCCAAGGCCGCGCCTACAAGTGAAGCCGAAGACGGAAAGAAGGAAAAGAAGGTCGACAAGAGGGGACGATGTGAGGCGATGAAGGTGAAGGAAGGACGTTGTTGGTGATCGTCTCGCTGGCGTCATCAAGGAGTGAAGGAATAAGCAGATAATTTTCTTAAACTTTATTGTGCTTTTCACTCGATTCCTATCCCGGTCCCTCAATCTACACTTGTTTTTTGTGTAAGGGAGGTGTTGTGGGGCAGCTTGCTGGACGGACCACAAGACTCCGCCTATCTCCTTTCTACCTGTCCCAATTTCTCCTAGGAATTCGTACTTTGTTTTGTACAAGGGAGGTGTTGTGGTGTCAGCTTTGCTGTACCACATAGATCCTCTTTCCCGGTGTCCCTCCTATCCAGTGGGTAGCCACCGGCGCGCGCCCCTCGGTCGCGTCGCGTGCGCCACTTCCCGCCTAAGACTAGATTGTATTATCTCGTTGCGGGTCCAATTATCGGCACAGACTAGCTCTGTTGCCGATCCTCCTGCCACCATTTATGTGATAAACAGTTGTTCGATAATGTACGTCCAGGATTCACATCGTTCATACTCATTTCGAGGATCACAACAGTTTTAAATGTTTTAAATTGGCCAAACGCGCCAGGTTTCACAAAAAAATACCTCGGGCTCAAGTCCTTGCATTTTTCCTAGCTCCAGCTCCCCCGGCGCTCCCCCGGAAAGAAATGCAAGGGCCAGGCATATGATTGGCGGGTTCGGCCATGTGGCTGGGATTGGATGACGGATCGGCATTTTCCGCTACGCGACAGTTCTGTCGACGAAAGGCGTGGGTCGGGTTTCCGTTCGCCGCCAGCTTACGTTTTCAATGGCCCTGGGAGAGTCTAGGCCAAGCCGAGCCAAGCCAAAGAATAAGCCTAAGCGTACGCGAAGCCAAGCCAAGCCTACAGCTAATTAAAAC